GTACTATGTATGTCATGTTTATCACTGTGTCCTCTTATCAAGTACCTATTAAATGGATGAATGAGCAGATTTCAGATACAGCGCCTCAAAAGCAATCTTTATATACAGATCACTAATTCAAATGCCTGTGGGGTAGGTAACATAATTGAGTAAACTGGGTAAGGAGTATCAGTAGAAGTGCAGGGGATTGCAGGTATCTCTTAACACTAAATAAAATATCTGTGGTGAGGGGCTTGCATTGATCCTGAGAATGACAATTTCTCTCCCCTGTGTGTTTTGAGAAAACACAGGATTTAACTCAGAAATTAAGTTCATTAAATCTTGAGTTGAAAGAAAGAGACACCTTCATTTTAACAAGAGGATGGAGGACTAGGAGAAAACGTACTTGGGTGAGGCAGCCAAAGCCACGGTGCCTCAGTGGGGGCAGACAGCTCCAGGGGGATGGCGCTGAGACTCAGAAGGGCAGAGATGATCCACACACAGGCTATTGGGACCAGCACCTGAGGGGCAAGACTGAGATGGAAAAGAACCTCCCTCCACCCCCCAGATCTTTCTGGGCCAGCCTTAGAGGAGTAACAGAGGCCAGATAGTAGGGGATGAGTCGAGCAAGTGTCCCAATCTGGCCCTTCTAATCTTGACTGCCCCTGCCCGGATCCCCACATACCGAGAGGAGCCGGAAGGCAGGGATGCGAGTGCAAGGTGAAGCTGGCCTCCATGGGCATGGAGGTAACTGGCAGGAGCCCAGGTGCTGAGAACAGACCACCATGAGCAGGATAAGCCTAGGAGAGGGAAGGCATCCTGAGGCAGGCAATGGAGACAGGAGTGGCAGAATACCACAAAAGAGAAGAAAGACTCCCGTGGACGAGGAAGGACGGCCTTTGGGGGTCAGAGGAATACTGTGTGAAAGCTAGACCAAATTAATCCACAAAGTAGTCCCTGCTCAGATAGCTGCTCAATCTGGTAGCAACTTTGCCCTACCCCCGCCCCCTGTCCTACATACCCCACTGGTCACCACCCCTTGCCTCTCAGGACTTACGTACAGCAAGGCCAGCCCCCAGTGACCCGAGCAAAACAGGGCCACCTCCCTGTAGGCAGAGAGCCCTGCCACAACCAGGCTGGGGGCCAGTACCAGGGGTCCGCAGTGAAGAAACAAGTGGCCAGGAGCCCCCAATAGTCCCAGTGTGCCCTGCAGCAGCCCAGACACCACCACTGCCCCAGACACCTGGTGGAGTGGAGGAGAGGACACAGAAAACATTCAGCTTGACCGAGTTGACCTTGGCTGGTCTTCCTAATCCCAGGGTGGGTCCCTTCCCCAAAGCATCCCCTCTCTCTTCTTCCAGAGCAGTTCACTCCCTGCATAATGGAAACCAGAGCCTCCCTAGCCCCAGGCACTACCTCTTGGAGAGAAGTATTCCAGAGCTCCAGGCGATGGCAGCCAGGCCCCTCACACGGGGGCAGCTTGTGGGAGGCTAGAAAGTTGGGGGCACGGAGAGGAGGTAAAATGGAATGATACAGCTTCAAGACCCCCAAGTTGCCTTTTCTCAATTCTGTCCCTACCTACACCTGTATGCTCAGATTATCCCCAACCCCACCCTCACCCTTGCTTGGTGCTCACAGTTTCCAGGTGTCTGGAAGGCCAGAGGCAGCTTCTGGTTGGTCAACACCAGAGCAGGAACAAGGAACTCAAAGGATGGAGCCTGGACAAGAGGCAGCCTGTAGGAACAGCAGCCCCAGCAGGTCTGGAAACAGGTTGCAGCCAAAAGGACTTCCCAAGGTTCTCCTAGCTACCCAGGGACCTGCCCTCTCTTTCTAGGGGGCCCCCCTTACCTGCTGCCCATCCAAGTTTGCAGGATGGTAGACACACCACATGCAAAGAGGCTGGAGGCCAGGAGGTGGGCAGGGGAGTAAGAGAGTCCTCCTGGGGGAAGACTTCGAAGCAGAAGCAGGTGCGAGGCACAGAGGAGAGAAGCCAGGACCAAAATATGCTGCAGGTGGAGGTATGGGCAGGGGCAGTCTTCAGAATTAGGCAGAAATACCTATTTCCAGAGAATCTCTAATGCCACATTTATCCCCAAACCCCCGCCCCCCCCCCCTTCAGCACCAACTCCTGCACCTCTGCCTCCTACCTGCAAAGCCAGAAGACAGCCGAGGCCCCAGGGAGGAGGCCCACTGAGAGAGGCCCAAGAATGGGAGGAGGGATTTTGGACAGCAAGCTGTGGAGACAGGGGAGCCCGGGTTTGCTGGGAGACCACAGATCTGAGTTGGATGGTTTGGGGGTGTGATCGGCTCATGCTGTCCTGCCTTCCGTCTTGTGTTGACTGCCCTGAGCCAGAATTAAGTAGAGTAAGAGGTCAGAGTTTGGATGAAGTCAGAGTTTGGCCGCCTGGAATGGGGAGGTGGTTGGAGTGCCAATGAAGCAGAACGAAGGAATGAGAGATTTGGGAGAGACACGGCACTTTCACCTTTGCCCAGTTCTTGTGCAAATTCCATCACCCATTAACAGAGAGTCATGTTCTGGACCCCTCCCCTAAGAATCTCCATCTAGATCCCTTGTTCCAGTCTATGTAAAGCAGGATAAGAAAGGTGAGGAGACCTAGAAAATAACCTGGGAAGATTTTAGACTCTATTCCCTCCTCTCCAATGCAATTTAGAACCATCATTACACTACAGTCCTCTTCCCTTTCAGGGTCAAAGCCCTGGGACTTAAGGTAATGGATGGGTAATGAATGACATACATGACAACTTATAATGCCCTTACTGTAATATAAAGGAGAAATAAAAATAATTTATGCTGAAACTGGTTTGGCTCAGTGGATAGAGTGTCAGCCTACAGACTGAAAAGTCCAAGGTTTAATTCCAGTCAAGGGCATGTACTTTGATTGTGGGCACAACCCCAGTAGGGGTGTGCAGGAAGCAGCTGATTGATGTTTCTCTCTCATCGATGTTTCTATCACTCTCTCTTCCTCTCTGTTAAAAATCAATAAACTATATTTTAAAATAATAAATAATAATAATAATTTATGACAAAAGGTATTTCATTATGTGAAAGTTTGGGCCCAACAAAAAGAGAAGGCCGTGAAGTGATCCAGGCCCCACCCCCATATGAATCACTGTGGATGCAGTAGTCATGATGCCAATACTGGTCCTTTCCCGTTCACTCATGGACAACAGGCGATGCTGTCATTGGTGACCTTATGCTTCGAAGTAGTGAATAAGTTCATGGTAAAGTGCTAAAGCAAAGTTAAGTTTTAATTTGCAAGGAGGTGCATTCCGGAAAACGGAGTCTTTTTCAAAATGTGCAAAAGGACTTTGTGTTTACATGTGAAGTTAGATGGTTCTAGGGTCCAATATAAACAGGGTTTTCCTAGCAGGATGTGATCGGCTCATGCTGTCCTGCCCGGTCATTCCAAAGTCATTGTGGGAATTCTTCCTAATAAGCGGGGTCCTGAGCATCTCATGTGTCTAGCATTCTGCCCAGGGCAACTAAATGCCAGTAGCATACCTTCAAATTTTTGCATCAAAAAATGCCTCATACCCCTGACTGGTTTGGCTCGATGGATGGAATGTCAGCCTGCAGAGGATTCCGGGTTCGACTCTGGCCAAGAATGCATGCTTGGGTTGTGGGCTGGATCCCCAGCAGGAGGCGTGCAGAAGGCAGCCAATCAATGATTCTCATCATTGATGTTCCTCTCTCTCCCCCCTCCCTTCCTCTCTAAAATCAATAATATATTTATTTTTAAATGCCTCATCCATTTTCAAAATGCCCCCCCAGGAGGCAGGCAGTACACTCCTGAGTCATTGAAAGCAGTCCCAAATACCTGCAGTCCAGTTACCTAAAGGTTTTCCTTCTTCCAATGATAACCCAGCTGGGGACTGCTCTTAATACCAACTACCAGCACGTGACAGACTGGATTGGAAGTCAGGATTCATAGGTGTCCTTGGGGTTTGCCCTCAAGGAGCTGATGGCGCTTGGCCTCTCTCCAGATGTGATTCAGAAATTATAAGGGTGGTTGGTGCTCACCCAGAACTTTCAACAGTCATGGCCAACCCCAGGCATGGTAGTCACCATCAGTGCCCCACGGTCCCCAAGTTGGGCAGTGCTAGTGACGCCAGGGTGCTGGGAGCAGGGATGAAGGGAAGTTTGGAATGGAAGCCTGTGACTATCAAACAGGACACTCTGAAATGGAGCTCAGAAGGAGTCGTAGATAATGGGACTGGGAAGTAGGAAGGCTTAGAAGGCAGATATGGGAAGTCAGCCCTTCCGAGGGCTGCCAGCGAAGGAAGAGTCCAGGCCATGCAACTGAAACTGTTTATTGAAACCTCAGTTCTACAAAAGCGTGAAAAACCCAGATACAAAGCGGCGGCCAGAGAGGCCTGTGAAGAGAACACCCAGAGAGGAACCAGAAGAGAGGGAAGCCCAGGAGTAGGGTACTAGAAAGACAAGGTTGGAAGACAAAAGGGCAAGGTCGAAGGTCCCAGCAGTCCCAGGCTCCTTTAGACTCCATCCCAAGGGCAGGTGTATGGATTGAGCTCCCACCTCACTCTGCCTTCCCTCAGAGCTCCCATCTTGGCCCTATCAATCCCTGGCTCTCTTGCCTTAGAGACATCACACAGACCTGGTCAGCATTTCCTCCCTCCCTCGCCCACATTTCCTATCTCCCACCTTTTCCTAGATCCCAGGAAACTAAACAGCTAAAGTCTAACAGAGCTAGAGGTGAAGAGACAAGGGCTTCTCCTCTATCCACTTGTGCCATGCCCCTGATCATTGAGTCGGAACTTCCCCTGGCACCATCACTGCCCTGGCCAAGCAGCCAGCTACTGAGGCCTAGGAGAGCAAGAGACCTTTAGTCCTTTAGCCCCATAACCCCTTAAGCTCCCTCACCCAGAACAGCAAGGGACCAGACAAGGACCCAGAGAGGTAGAGAGGATCTAAATCAAGCATTGCTCCTCAGGTTCTCGGGGACTCCCAAGTCCTCTTCATGCATTCCTCGGAACCCTACCTAGCCCGGGAAAATGAAAGACTTGAGGCGGGCCAGCTCCATGATGCTGAAAATGGAACACTGCTGGGGCTGTGGGAGCAGAGAAGGCATTGGGCTCCAGGGCCAGGGTGGAGCCAGGCCATGGGAATGGTACCAGGGGCTTGGCGGCCCCGTATGGTTGGGACGGTGGCAGGCATGGCAGGTTGGTGAGTCTTTCTGGAGCTTCTGGCAAAAGGGACAGTTATGGAGAAGAGTGGGAGGGGCAGGAGGGTCTGGGGGAGGCAATGGCGGCGGGGTCAGCGAGGCCAGAAGACTGCCCCAGAGTGAACGCAGCCCTACGTCGCCTTCCAGGAAGCTGGAGACATTAGCAGGAGACGGCAGGCACTGTGGCACAGGAGAAGGTATGCAGGGTTCCAAGAGGCCTTTGGAAGCCAGTCCAAGGTCCGGGGGGCCGGGTGGCAGGCTGCAGGACAGCCCCAAAGACTGGTGTATCACAGCCACGGAAGCCACAGCCAGGGCCACACTGCTCACATATGCTACCGCTAACAGGCAGGACAGCTGCAGGAGAGAAGATAAGAAGGATCAGTGTCAATTACCCTTCCCCTAAAACCTGCGTCTGATAGTCGTAACGCACCCACCCAGGTCTCTAGAAGTTCAAGTTAGAGCTCTCTGTCAACATCTTCTCCAAAACCCCATCTCCTGAGCTTTTTAGCATTTGCTTCACATCATCCCCCCCACACACCAACCCACTCAAGCCTCCTATCCTTCCTGACCCCTTCTTACCTTTGCCAGCTGGTGGCAGAGGGAGCCCAGGGCCAGCTGCCAGGCTGGCTGCTCCAGCAGCACACACAGGTCTGTGTAGGTGTACCAGCCCCGTCGTCGTCCCTGATGCTCAGCCACACTGTTGGGAGGGGAGAAAAGACAGAGTCTGCAGCTGGCCCAATGGCACCGTAATTCTCCCAGGGACCCACCAGGGAACACTGGGGAACATGCTAAAAATACAGATTCCTAGGCTGCCTATTGACCTCAGAAACTGAGAGTGAGACCAAGATCTGTGGTTTTTGTTTGTTTGTTTGTTTTTAATATATTTTATTGATTTTTTTACAGAGAGGAAGAGAGAGAGGGATAGTCAGAAACATCGATGAGAGAGAATCATCGATCAGCTGCCTCCTGCATGCCCCCTATTGGGGATGTGCCCGCAACCAAGGCACATGCCCTTGACCAGAATCGAACCCGGGACCCTTCAGTCCACAGGTGGACACTCTATCCACTGAGCCAAACTGGTCTCAGCTAGATCTGTGTTTTTTATAAGCTTCTCCCACTCTCCCAAAGGTGACCGATTATAAAAAGGTTTGGGAATCAATTTCTTGGACAATTCTCTTCCCAGTCTGCCCCCTTTCCCCCCTCTGCTCCGCCTCTTACCCCCATCCCATTACACAGATCTTATCTCTGTCTAGCTCCTATGGCGTACATCTTTAAGCCCCTCAACTCCTAGAACTTACCAGCTCTCTAACCAGCTCAGCACCTCAAATATCTCCCGAGGGTCAGTGTAGAGACGCCAATCCTGTGGGTATGAAGAGAAGGGCACCAAACTAGACATGAGCCACAATAATTTAATAACCAGAGCAGCAATAGTACTACAACTGCCACTGTGCATAATACTCACTTGATACTGTTCCAAGAGCTTTTATCTATTAACTAATTTAATCATCACATATCTGTATTCATATTACACCCTCTGTTAATGGCACATGGAGAAAGTAATCCTGCTAATGTTCCATGAGGCTAGGAGTAAAGGAAGTCTGGAAGCAAATAATCAGCACCCAATAGGATAAACTCTTGACTCAAAGTGTACCCAGCTGGGCTTGGAGGAATGGGGGAGCTGGGATACTCCATTTCTGGCCTCACCTCACCTTCAAAGGCTATAGTTAGTCCAGAGGGCTAGAAAGGAAAGATACTAACAAGGAGGACAGGCAGAAAGAGAAATTAAGAAACAGAGGGTTGAGAGAGAAAAGACAAAGCGTGAAAGGAACGTAAAGATGGGCTACGGAAACAGAGCGAGAGAGCTACTCACCATGGCACTCAGGAAGCCCCTCTCCAGGGCATTGAGAGTGGGCACAGCCACACCCCCTGCAGCTCCCCATTCGTCATTGAAGACCTCCTCCTCCTCCCCTTCATCATAGAGGTACTTACTAGCCACCATCTGCAGAGGCACCATAGGTGGTGTCAACAACAGAGCTCACATTGGGCTCCTAGCTCACCAGGGAAAGGAAGGGGAGGGGCTGTCCTACCATGGAGATCAGGAACAAGTCGGAGGAGGACACATGCTGTAGGTAGTCCGGGTTTCGGTGCCGGAGCCGTTCAATGTACACCAGAGCTAGCATCATAGCACACGGGGAGATGCATGCCTCCCTGGGAGGTGGAAAGGATCAGTAATTAAACCCCGGGGCTTTTCAGCTCTTGTAACTCATGAGGCCCATCCCTGTGTCTTTACAGCTTCCCTTTAGAGAGAATCATTCCCTTCTTTCTGGGTCCCAAAAACTTTCATCCTGCCCCCCTCAATTCCAGGCTCACCGGGACACGTGGGCTACATATTTCTTCTGGAGTCGGCGGATAGGGCTGGGGGCTGCCTTCTGGAGCAATTCCACAGCAATGTCTGCAGGGGCAGAAGGAAAACAGAGTAAGCAAACAATCCCTCTCCCCGCTCCACCCCCCCCCCCCCACACACACACACTAGTCCCCACTGCTTTCAGCAGAAGACCCAGGCAGCTTTCTATTATCGGAGGCCGTGGAGACAGGACCATAGTAACAAACAGAGATCAAGTTCTCCCACACTGAGACAAGTTTGAACTGCAGTTCCTTCCAGTAGGAAGGCTTAGTTCCCAGCCACCTGAAGTTACTTAAATTTGTCTCCCACTCTTGTTCATTTGAGAAATAAACATGTTCTTGGGAAAATTCTATTATACAAAAGAAGAGTGATAAAGATTTGTCAGCAATGTTTTTTATTCATTTGGGCTAAAAAAAAATTTTTTTAAAAGTGAAATATAAACCCATGGCCAGTGTGACTCAGTTGGTTGAGCTTTGTCCCATGCATGGAGAGGTCCATAGTTCAATTCCAGGTCAAGGTTCATGCTGGGGGCTGCAGGCCTGATCCCCAGTAGGGGGAGTACAGGAGGCAGCCAATCAATGTTTCTCTCTCTCCTCCCTTCCTCTCTAAAACCAATATAAAACATATTTTTAAAAAATAAAAGTAGCCTAGCTCGTGATAAGTAAATAAATAAACAAAGAAATAAAAATAAATAAACCCAGTGCTTATACCAACTACTAATGAGCTAGCTATGAAGTGTATACACCTAGTCATTTTGGATGCCTGTTGACAACCCCATTTTCTTGCTTCTCACTTGCCCAGTCACACAACATTGTCTAACCTGCCATGGGGCTGGAGAGCTCTTCCAAACTACAGTCAGCTTCCCAGTCCCAGCCATAGTAGAGTCTTCTCCGGATCCTGGCATTCAGCTTCTGGTGTCCTGGAAGGAACTGAAACAGGGCAAGAGGGAGGTGGAGGGTAAGGGCAAGGAAGGGTATGATTGAGAGGACATCCCGGCTTCGGGCTAGAAGGGGGTGCGGGCCCGAAGGCCTGTCTCACTGCTAGTAGGTTGGGTGCCCCACCCAGCCCCGTGTTCTCGGGCTTGTTGGCCAATAGCAGCCTGTCCGCCGGGGTAAGATCCTCCTCCACTGAGGGCTCTCCAAGTGAGCTTCTCCGGGGGAAAAAGCCCTCCCCGGCCACCTCCAACCCCAATCCTGTACCCCGAGGCTCTCCCCCGGGACCCAACCAGCCGGGGCAAGCAAGCACAGCTGGAGCGGCTGCCTCCCAACTCCCAGGCGGGCTGTTAGGCGAACTCGTAGCCCCGCTCAGTCCGGGCTCCAAGGGCGGGAGGCCGGGGAGGCGGCGGGCAGCGCGCTCACCGAGAAGTCCTGGAAGCCGGTGAGGGAGAAGGTGCCTTCCTCGTCCAGCAGGAGCCCGGCGAGGTCCATCGCGCCGCCAGCCGCCGCCCTGCGAAGGTGGGCGGGAAGGGGACGGGTGGTAAGGGGGCAGCTGAGCGGTCCCCGCCCGCCCGTCCACCTGCCCTCGGCTTCCTCCGCGGGGCCGCCGCCTCGCCGGGCCGCCCCTCCCCTCGCGCCCGCAGGCGGGGCCGGGCGGGAGGGCGCCTCTTCCTGTTCCGCCCCGGGCGGGGCTCCCGACGCCGGGGTCGGGGCTCCCGATGCCGGGATCCGGGCTCCCGGCTCGGGGCTCCGAGGCCGATCGCTCACCTCCAACAGCCGAGAGGAGACCCGGCCGCGAGGCGGTGCGTGCGGAGCCGAGGCCGCGCCGCGCGTCCGTCCGGCGTCCACACGCCGCGGGTGCGGCGGCCTCAGCCGTTGGCACTTCCTGCCGCCCGCGGGGCGGGGCGCTGCCGCCCGAGGCGCGGAGGCCGCTGAGCCCCAAAACCTGGTCGCATTGAGTTGGGGCCGGTCACGGAGCCGCGGCCCAGCGTGCCCTCCCCGCATCGGAGAAAGTGGGGACATTGCCTAGGGATCCGTGCCACAGTGAAGGTGAATGAGCCCGGCTGACTTCGTACTAATGTAGATTTCAATGCGAAAGAAACAAAGATGCAGGACCGCGAGTTGCTCCCCAATTGTTTTCTTTTCTTTTTCTTTTTTTCTTTTTTTTTTTTTTTAATATATTTTTATTGATTTCAGAGAAGATGGAAGGATATATTTTATTGATTTTTTACAGAGAGGAAGGGAGAGGGATAGAGTGAAACATCGATGAGAGAGAATCATCGATCAGCTGCCTCTGGGATCAGCTGCCTCTTGCACACCCCCCAGGGGATGTGCCCGCAACCAAGGTACATGCCCCTGACCGGAATCGAACCTGGGACCTTTCAGTGGGCAGGCCGAAGCTCTATCCACTGAGCCAAACCGGTTTCGGCTTCCCAATTGTTTTCTTTTTTCTTTTTTTAAAGTATATCTTACTGATTTTTTACAGAGAGGAAGGGAGAGAGATAGCTGGAAAGTCGGGGATGTGCCCGAAACCAATGTACATGCCCTTGACCGGAATCAGACTCACGCTCTTCCACTTAGCCAAAAGGGCTTCGGCCCCAATTGTTTTCTAAAAGGGGTGCTATATACACACACAGCAATGTACCCAAAAAAGAGATGGCCCGGATACACAAGAAACGTAACAGTGGGTGCCTCAAAAAATAGTAAGAAGCTAGGAAAATTCCGGGACAAGTATATAGGGTGAACAGCAGTTTGCAGCCACCTAGTAAATCCTATCTTCCCTAAACCAAGGATACTTAAGAGTAAACAGTTTGCACCTCTCCCCACCCAGAGGTTAGTTCAAATCACCCTATTCAGGGAGACAGATAACAGAAATCCAATTAGTGCCATTTGCAACCACACCCACGGACAAGTCAAGAAAATCTCATTTGGTACTTCAGCATAAAGTTGATGAATATTCTTATTGATCAGCAGTAAGACCTCCCCTAAATGTCCAAACTTTAACCTGTTAACCTAGCGGGACCTATAAATACGTCAAACGTAAACAATATCGGGAATGGGTAGGACGTATGAATACGTCCTTGAAATATATGTTGCGCTCCGAGAGGGACGGTATATATTTTTTGTAATCTTTTTTTAATATTGATTTTTTACAGAGAGGAAGGAAAGGGGAGGGATAGAGAGTTAGAAATATCGATGAGAGAGAAACATTGATCAGTTGCCTCTTGCACACCCCCCACTGGTTGATGTGCCGGCAACCAAGGTACATGCCATTGACTGGAATCGAACCCAGGACCCTTAGGTCTGAAGGCCGACGCTCTATCCACTGAGCCAAACTGGTTTCGGTTATTTTTTGTAATCTTTATCATTGTTTGTAAAATTTATAATTTTTTAATTCGACGTATCCATTTTTTTTTGTCGGTATTCTTTTCTATTTTTTTGTAATTTTGAATTTTCCTTTGTGCTATATATATTTCATTTATTTTCATTAAGTATAAATAAAAAAATAATATGAAATTACGTCCTCCGGGCGTGATGTACTGACACGTCTTAGTGAAAGAGTATGCGCCCGTTACAGGTTGCGTCATTGAAAAGGGAACTCCCCGGTTAACAGGTTAAAAATGAAAATGAAGCCATAACTGGTTTGGCTCAGTGGATAGAGCGTTGGTCTACAGACTGAAGGGTCCTAGGTTCGATTCCGGTCAAGTGCATGTACATTGGTTTCGGGCACATTCCCAGTGGGGGGTGTGCAAGAGGCAGCTGATCGATGATGGTGATTCTCTCACAGCAATGTTTCTGGTTCTCTATCCCTCTCCCTTCCTCTCTGTAAAAAAATCAATAAAAGATATTAAAAAAAAAAAAAAAGTCCCAGGTTCGATTCCGGTCAGGGGCATGTATCTGGGTTGCACGCACATCTCCAGTAGGGGGTGTGCAAGAGGCAGCTGATCGATGATGATTCTCTCTCATCGATGTTTCTAGCTCTCTATCCCTCTCTCTTCCTCCCTATAAAAAAAAACCAATAAAATATATTTCTAAAAAATTAAAATGAGCCGAAACTGGTTTGGCTCAGTGGTAGAGTGTCGGTCTGCATACTGAAAGGTCCCAGGTTCGATTCTGGTCAAGGGCATGTACGTTGGTTGCGGGCACATCCCCGGTGGGGAGTGTGCAAGAGGCAGCTGGTCGATGTTTCTCTTTCATCGATGTTTCAAGCTATCTCTCTCCCTTTCTCTCTGTAAAAAGTCAATAAAATAATTTTTAAAAAAATTAAAATGAAAGTCCCAATATACTTTCCCTCTGGGGAGCACACCGGTGCCATTCCTGTCCCCTTTCTTCCCCCCACACATATCCCCTCCCCCCTAAGCTAAGGCCCCCTAAGGGACCCTAGGAGACTTGCAACCAGGGGAGCAGTGGGCAGCGGCAGCTCAGTCAGGGGCCTGGACCTGTTTCCAGGACCTCCTGTTCCCGACTTCCCCGTGAGCTAGGGCAGCCCAACCTGGGCTCTCCTGTTACTTTTATGTCTTTCCTTCTTTCACTCCCTTAAGTATATTTTTGCTGCGGACAATAGATTCTTGCTTGCTTTTCTACACTTTGTCTCTTGATTGAACTCTTTCCCTCAACAAGACAAGAACCGAGGTCTCGCGGGTAACAGGAGAACTGTGGACAAAGAAGCAGGGAGACTTATTTTTTGCTGTATACATTTTAGTATAGTTTGGCATTTTCAAGCTAATTAAATATGTGTCTTGTAGGGTTATTGCAGATATTAAGTGATTCGAGAGACTGTAAATTGCAGAGTACTTGTAAGCCTCAATAAATGGTGTTACTATGCCTCAAAGAGCAAGCAGCGTTTAAACAGCGTTTTATTTTTATTTATTTTAACAGCGTTTTATTTTTAAATTCACCCCCTGACCACAATCTCCTGCTTTGAGCAAGGGGATTGGAAGGAGCTCGGATACATGGGGGCGGGAAAGTTTACAGAAAGACACAGGAAGGAAACAACTTTTCTGAGTAGGTGACGCTGTTTTTGAGTGTCCTGTCACGTGCTGGGTTTGTTTACCCGTCGAGGAGGAAACTGGGGGGACCAGTACGTCCAGGGTTGAGTAAAGCTGCAGCGCCGCCCAGCCAGAGCAGCAGCAGCAGCAGACCCCACCCGGGATGGGGGGGGGGGGCATCTGGAAACCCCTTCCCTGCCTCTTCGGGCTGCATCACGCCGGGAATCCCGGGCCAACACGGGACTCCCTAGCCGCCCTGTCAACACAGGGAGAGAAAACACACACACACACACACACACACACACACACACACACACACAAAAACCGGGGGGCCGAAACTGGTTTGGCTCAGTGGATAGAGCGTCGGTTTGCGGACTGAAAAGTCCGGAGTTCGATTCCCGTAGGGAGCATGTACCTTGGTTGCGGGCTCATCCCCGGTGGGGGGTGTGCAGGAGGCAGCTGATCGATGTTTCTCTCATCGGTGTTTCTAGCTCTCTCCCTCTCCCTTCCTCTGTAAAAAAGCAATAAAATATATTAAAAACAAAAACAAAAACGGGGCTGGGGTGGGAAACACGGAGACACAGGCCCCCTGCCCGGAGGAGAGAGATTCCACCTAACACCGCCCGGGGTCAGGACTCCCGCAGGAAGCGCACACAGGCCTGTGCGGGAGTCCCCGGTAGCCCCTGCGCGCAGGCGCGTGCCGCCCAATCCGGGCGGTTAGGGAGCGTCACGTGACAGGCCCGTCGCTCCGCCATCACGTGTCGCCCGGCGGCTGTCTCCGCGGCGCTCCCCGCGGCGTGCGCCCCCTTCCGCCTGACGCGCCCCCGGCGGCGGCGGCCGCGCAGCCCTGGCTCCTCGCGGGCTTGGGCGGCGGCTGCGGCGGGGCTATGGCGAGCGGCGGCGGCGGCGGGGGTAACGCGGGCGGGGGCCTGGGCCTAGGCCCGGGCCCGGTTCTGAGCCTCAGCATGGCTGAGGCCACCAGCGAGGCGGACGAGGAGGCGGCCACGGCCGAGGCGGTGGGACGCCTGGCCACGGCGCTGTGGCTGCGGCTCCGCGGCTGGGAGTCGGTGCTGGCGGCGGCGCAGCGCCTGCTGGTGTGGGAGAAGCCGCTGCACAGCCTGGTCACGGCGGCCGCGCTCAACGGCCTCTTCTGGTAACGGCCGCGGGGGAAGGGGGCGGGGCCGGCTGCAGGGGGTGCGGGGGCGGACACTGGTCCTGGGGGGTGACCCATCCCCGTTTGTAAAGGCCGTCTTGCGCCTGGGTTGCCCTGTTACTCCGTCTTCCGGTCCCGAGTTAGGCCCGGAGGTTGCCGTGCCCCATCAGTGGGCTCTTTTCCGCCCTTTGCGATGGCTGCGGGGGCCGCTCTCACCCGCTCGCCGCTGAGGCGCCTGTCTCTCCCGAAGGTTGCTGTCTTCGTCGTCCCTCCGGCCCATCTTCCTCCTCAGCGTCTCACTTTTGGCCTATTTTCTGCTGGATCTCTGGCAGCCTCGCTTCCTCCCTGACATGCCAGGTGAGTGTCACTTCCTTTATTTAGCAAGCCCATGGTGCACTCGCTCTGTGGCTGACCCCGCTGGACGAGTTGAGTGGTGAGGGGCATGGACAGCAGGCCACCTGCCTCCCGGTCATCACCACTCCCCCCGTTAGGAAATCGAGAATTGCTCCTTTCTCAATACGGGTGTTAGCGTGAATGTAGGAAAGATTGTGGACTCTGTAGATTGATTTCCTGGGTTCCATTGTTTGCTCAGCCTCTTACCACGTGTGTGACCTTGTAAAAGCCACCCACTCTTTGTTTGCTTCAGTTTCCTCATCTATAAAACAGGAATGATAGAACTTACTTCATCAGGAGGTTTCATATGTGGTAGGAATTACATGCATGTTAGCTCTCACTGTTTTGTGCGTTTGTGTTTAATTCATGTATTTACTTACTAGGCTTTTTTGAGTAACTAGGTGCCAGGCTGTGTGCAAGTTGCTTGGAGTGTGAACATGAATAAGATGTAGTTCCTGTGTTTGAGGAGGGTAAAGTCTAAAAAAAGGAGACTCATACAAACAATACACCACAATGCTCCCTGCATTGGCACCTGAAGAGAGTCCTCTGGGACTGTCTGCCTTGGGGAGTGTCTCCCAGAGCCCCTACCACTCAGTAACTTGTCCCCCTCCTCTCTCTATAGCATCATCCCCAGAGGAGCCACACTCTGACAGGTGAGTGCAGGCCACCTCTTGAAGACAAATGCCCAAATCTTGTCTTGCTTTGCAAAGTGCCAGTGTGACCGTGATGCAGGGCAACACTGCAGCTTCTGTAGGCACAGACCCCAGCATAGTGAATGGACTGCTAATTAGCTCGGTTCTAGGGTTCCTTTGTAGGTGTTTGTGTGCCTTCTCCTTTGGGGGCACAGGGTTGGGAGCTCTGGGCTTTGCTTCCCTGGACCAGGACAGCCTCCCTTTGGGAGGTAGGGTTATCCATTTCCTTAGACTGAAGATCTCGTTGACATTCTCAGAGGGATATAAATGCTTAGGAAGCTGGTGTCTGAGGCCTCCAGGGGTCATGTCATGTCTCCCCAGTGAGGGTGCGGGGTCAGGCGCCCGGCCGCACCTGCTGAGTGTGCCCGAGTTGTGCAGATACCTGGCTGAGAGCTGGCTCACCTTCCAGATTCACCTGCAGGAGCTGCTGCAGTACAAGAGGCAGAATCCAGCTCAGGTAACCTCCCCCATGTCATAGAACAGTTCCCTGCACTGTGGGGAAGAAGAGCTGGGGGGTGGGGTGGGGAGGAGTGCTTGGACACTTTAGGAAGAGATCTAGTGTCTGCTTAAGGAACATTCACAGCTAGTAGCCTGTACAGGAGGCAGTCTTGCCTCAAGGAGTAAGCTGATGTCCTGACACTATTTCCTGCAAGGCAGATCAGTTTGAATTACAGGTGTTGATGGCAGCTATTGTAAACTTCCTGACCTGGTGGTGTTGGGCATCCTCTTGACTAGACTGAATCACCGCATTCCTAGAGGACATACCCCTCCTCTCACCAGCTGAGCAGTGATTTCTTGCCCAAATGAGTGGGGCACATACCTTAGCCCAAGTTCTTTGACCCTGTGCTCTTCTCTGCAGTTCTGTGCTCGAGTCTGCTCTGGCTGTGCTGTGTTGGCTGTGCTGGGACACTATGTTCCAGGGATTATGATTTCCTACATTGTCTGTGAGTAGGGTCTAACCTTGCCCTTCCCAAAGCCATCTCCTTATCTTTTCCTGGACTGACTTACAGGGAGGACTGTGCTCTCTCTCTGCTCAGTTGCCCATTTACAGAGATTCCCGAGGGATGCTATAGTATTAGTAACAGTGGAGGAGTCATCAAGGAGGAGGGCAGGGGATACAGCCTCAGGAAAGGACCTTATTTTCATTCAGCCCTTTCTGTTTATGGACCAGCTGAATAAGGGCCCTTAGGAAATAAGCATAGGGAGCTCTGAGTGAATGCTCTATCCTCTAGTGCTGAGTATCCTGCTGTGGCCCCTGGTGGTTTATCATGAGCTGATCCAGAGGATGTACACTCGCCTCGAGCCCCTGCTCATGCAGCTGGACTACAGCATGAAGGCAGAAGCTGACACCCTGCATCACAAACACGACAAGAGGAGTAAGGGGCTCCTGTAACTTGGTGAGGGGAGGGGGGGACGGGGAGGACCTTAGCTTATGCTTCATAAAACACCATAGAATTTTGATATTCTCCAGTCCCTTGGCCAGGTTTACCCCCCACTACTATCCCTGCTTGGTGAGTACCCTGGTGCTCTTGCTTCTCTAGAGCGGCAAGGGAAGAACACACTCCCCGGAAGCGATGAACCACTGGCAGACACCGAGAGTGAAAGCGAGGCAGAACTGGCTGGCTTCTCCCCGGTGGTGAGATCCAAAGGAGATGGGGTGTCGAGTAGAAGATTGAGGGGAATCTGCTCTAGAACAGTTACCTCTTAAGCGTTGGGGGCTTGTGATAGGGGTGTTCCTAGAAAACTGGTTCTCTTATCCCCTTATCTGTGTGTTCATCCTGGTTCTCCTGCAGGTGGATGTGAAGAAAACAGCACTGGCTTTGGCCATTACAGACTCAGAGCTGTCAGATGAGGAGGCATCTATCTTGGAGAGTGGCGGCTTCTCAGTATCCCGGGCCACAACTCCACAATTAACTGATGTCTCTGAAGGTATGGGCAATCCTTTGCCCTTCCCGATCTTCCTGTTCCTGTTGTGAGATACTGACCATGCTCTCTAATTGTTGCCCCATAACTGTTTTCTTTGGAGAATTGACCCTCTAATTCTACTTCAAGATCCTAAAAGACCTTAACACCTAAGTCCTAGCCCAGCATTCCATGTCTAAGCTCTCATTCTTTTTTTGTTTTGTTTTTTAAAAATTTTTTTAAATTGATTTCGGAGAGGAAGGAAGAGGGGGGGAGAGAGAAAGAGAAACCTCAATGATGATAGAATCATTGATCGGGTGCCTCCTGCATGCCCCCTACTGGGGATTGAGCTTGCACCCAGACTGGAATCAAACCCAGGACCCCTTCAGTCCACAAGTTGAAACTCTGTCCACTAAGCCAAACTGGCTAGGGCCCAAGTTCTCAGTCTTGAACATATTGGCCTATTATGGCCATTCAGAATAGCAGGCTCATTCCTAACCCTTTGTTTTCTGCACAGATTTGGACCAGCAGAGCCTGCCAAGTGAGCCAGAGGAAGCCCTGAGCCGGGAGCTGGGGGAGGGAGAGGAGACAGAGATGGCCCCTCCTGAAGACCTGCTGGGCCCCCCTGAGGTCCTCTCAAGGCAAGACCTGGACTCAGAGGAAGAGGAGGAGGAGGAGGAGGAAGTTGTGGCAGCCAAGGAAACCTTGCTTCGGCTCTCATCCCCCCTTCACTTTGTGAACACACACTTCAATGGGGCAGGTTCTCCCACGGATGAAGTAAAGCTCTCCCCTGGAGGACCAGTGGAGACACTGAGCCCGGAGGCAGTGAGTGGTGACCCCGCCACGCCCTCAAACACCCTGTCACCCCTACTTGGCCTTGCTGAAAGCGACCCAGTCCCTTCCATCTCAGTGCTCCCACCTCTTCCCCAGGACTCTGCCCAGCCCCTGCCTGGCCCTGAGGAAGAAGAGGCACTTGCCTCTGAGGACTTTGAGTTGCTGGATCAGGGGGAGCTGGAGCAGCTGAATGCAGAGCTGGGGTTGGGGCCAGAGACATCCCCAGAGCCCCCTGATGCTCCACCCCTAGGGCCCAACACCCTTTCTCTGCTAAAGTCAGACCAAGAAGCTGAGACCATGGCAGAGCCATGAGCCATGGAAGAAATTGCAGGCACAGTAATAAGGCTTCCTGGCTAGGGCTGTCACTGCTCTCTCCTTTCTCTACCATTAGGAGGGGCTGTAGGTGGGGAAGCTGGCTGTCAGGTGATAGCTAGTCCACTTTCTGCCTACCTGCATGCCTGTTGTCCCAGGCACTGTAAGCAGATTGGTTTTAAGTTTGTAAATAATTTTACATTTGGGTTAGTGGATGTGAACAGGGCTAGGGAAGTTCTTCCCACAGCCTGCACTTGCTTCCTTGCCTCATCTCTATTCTCATTCCACTCTGCCCTAAACCCTGGTGGTCTTTTTCTTTTTCCTCCTATCCTCAGGGACCTATGCCGGTCTGTCCTTGTGTCCCACTTGTTTAGACACTTTATCACTTTTCTCTCCTGTCCTATGCTCTTCTCTGCTTCATTTCCCTACTGTGTCTTGTCCTTAGCAGCTCAATCCTCACTCTGCCAGCTCCTCCCTGGCTAAAACTTTAAGGAGGCTCCTGTTTGGGAAGTGCAGACTAAACCTGGGGTGGTGGGTCAGACCAGTAGTTGAGCAGTTAGGTCACTGAAGCCTGTGGATCCTCCACTGCACCCTTGGCCTAGTTCATCCCAGCCTTTTATATATAGGAGCAGAGCAGGGATCCCACAGCACATGGACCGGCACTGTGTTAATGAGCAGGAGCTCTGTCTTGTTGGGAAGAGGGGCTTTCTTACTGTTCCAGGGAAGAAAAGACCTGTACCACTGGGCCATGAATAGTTCAAGTGTGGTGGGACCCCCTCCTAGAGTGAGGAAGTGGACAGTAACATCTGTGCAGGTGTTGATTGGAGAAATAAAATATTAATTGGCTAGCACTGCTGTTGCCTACCTGCTTGCCTAACTGTGAACTGCTTGCTACACTCTGTGCCATCCTCACCCCTTACCTCCTTGTTACAATCTTATTCCTGGCTGTTTATTTACCTGGTGCAAAACAAGGCCAGAAACAGGGATTACCCACCAGCCCTAGCTATTTTCCCTGATGGGGTTATGTGTTTAGTGAGATTTAGCATATATGAGTAAAGTATGCAGGAAGAAATTGCCTCATTTTCCCAATCAGTACAAATTTGGTTCCATAACAGTTATTTTCTATTGTGTTCCCTACAGCCTAAATACTCTTACCCATCTATATGCAATAACTCAGCTCTGGATTATATATACAAGAGAGACCAAACAAGCAAGACATATACCTGTATCAAAATTGATTTCAGACCAAGTAACACGAAAGAAATAGTATCTATTGCTTGGCCTGTGTGGCCAGTTGGTTGATTAGCGCATTATCCCATGCACCAGGAGGTTACCAATTTCATTCCAGGTCAAGATACAAGCCCAGGTTGTGGTCTCAATTCCCAGTAGGCAGCCAATTGGTATTTCTCTCTCCCTCTCTAAAAATCAAAACATGCCGAAACCAGTTTGGCTCAGTGGATAGAGTGTTGGCCTGCAGACTGAAAGGTCCTGGGTTCAATTCCGGTCAAGGGCATGTGGGCACATCCCCAGTGGGGGGTATGCAAGAGGCAGCTGATTGATGTTTCTCTCACCGGTGTTTCTAACTCGATATTCCTCTCCCTCTCTGTAAAAAAATCAAAATATATTTTAAAAAATAAAAACATTTTTTAAAGAATAGAACTACCACTAATTAAATACATAAAATGTGCTTTGCACTTTTCTAAAATGAGTTGATACTTGTTTTTTCCCCTCACAATCCCGAGAAACATACTGTTATTCACTGTATTTTGTACAAAGTCTTAACATTCCAGAAGGCCACAGTCCTCGCCAAAACCGGTTTGGCTCAGTGGTAGAGCGTCGGTCTGTGGACTGAAAGGTCCCTGGTTCTATTCCAGTCAAGGGCAAGTATGTTGGTTGCAGGCACATCCGGTGTGCAAGAGGCAGCTAGTCGATGTTTCTCTCTCATCGACGTTTCTAGCTTTCTATCTCCCTCCCTCTCTGTAAGAATCAATAAAATATATTAAAAATTAAAAGTAAAACCAGCACTGTAGGTAATTCACCTTCACAGTGAAGTCATACCGTTTAAGGTACTGTGCTGGGTGCTAGGAACCTAACAGAACCAGGTAGACGTGGCTCCTGACTTCCCAGTATATTTGTGTGTGTTAACAGCTGATTACAATATGACATGGCCGAAACCGGTTTGGCTCAGTGGATAAAGCGTCAGCCTGCGGACTGAAAGGTCCCAGGTTCCATTCCGTCAAGGGCATGTACCTGGGTTGCGGGCACATATCCAGTAGGGGGTGTGCAAGAGGCAGCTCATCGATGTTTCTCTCTCATCGATGTTTCTAGCTCTTTATCCCTCTCTCTTCCTCCCTATAAAAAAATAAAAATATATTTAAAATAATAACAACAACAACAACAATAAAGGGATTAAAAAAATGGATGCTAGAACAGAACCAGGGAGGTCTCATAGACGGTGTGCTTAGCTCAGACTAGGGATGGTGAGGGGAGCCTTACAGAAAGGGCGTCAGAGCTAAGCCTGGAACGAAGGATCTGCAGCTCTGGAGAGAAATCTGTACTGTAGAGAAATATGGGAGTCAGCTGGGGAGAGTAAGTGCAGCCGTGGCCGTGAATGAAATGGCTAGGACTAGGTATAGAGTGAAAAGTAGACGAAGGACAGACCTGTGAAAGACTCCAAACCACTCTAATCCTCCTTCCCCCACAAACCACCTGTTCTCGGCTTCGCGGGTCCTTAAGTCCAGGCACAGTCCCCAGCCAGGCCGAGCACTCACGGGCGGGGCTCGGCCTGCTGTGTTGCTCCCCACGTCGCCCTGCGACTGCGCGAGATGTGCCCGCCCTGCGCGATGACGTCAGTGCGCGTGCGCGCTGCGGGAGGAGTGGACCTTTGGGCGAGGAGGCGCAGAGGCTCCGGTACCTCGACTAGGTAGGTAGAGGATGAGGAGGGACAGGGAGCCCCCCAGCGTCCGGGATCGCAGTCCGGACCCGGAGCGGGAACCCTAGAGGTGCTCAGCATCGCTTCTCCCAGCAGGCCCCCCTCGGCCCAGCGATGGAGTTTCCGGATCTCGGGGCGCACTGTTCCGAGCCGAGCTGTCAGCGCTTGGGTGAGGGCGGAGCGCGAGGGGGTGGGACCGGGTGGAGAGGGGCTTGGAGCTGCCGAGGAAACGTAGGGTGGGCTCCGGGGGCTGGAAATGCTGGGAGGGGCGGGCTCGAAGGTGAGACGGTGTCAAAGGGGGCGTGGCTAGGGAGAGTGGACTAGAGCCGGTGGTTTGTTGCAAACAAGGAGGTGTTTTCCTTCCTCCGAGTGGAAGGCTTGACTGACCCGGAATGATGTCAGGGTCCCGCTGGACCTGCACTTTGCCATATCCCCTGCAGATTTTCTGCCGCTCAAGTGCGACGCCTGCTCGGGCATCTTCTGTGCAGACCATGTGGCCTATGCTCAGCATCACTGTGGATCTGCTTACCAAAAGGTGAGGGGGCAGTCTGAGGATGATGAAGGATGCATGCAGAATCCCTGCAATTCCTCTGCCTCCTGCTTCCTCTCCTTTATTTGAGCTTCTTTCAGGACCAGAGATTTGGTTGAAGTGGGAGTGGGTCACAGACTGAGCTCTGTTCCTTAACTATAGGATATTCAAGTACCTGTCTGCCCACTCTGTAATGTGCCTGTGCCTGTGGCCAGAGGGGAGCCCCCTGACCGTGCTGTGGGGGAGCACATTGACCGAGACTGTCGCTCGGATCCAGCACAGCAAAAACGAAAGGTAAGCATTGAAAGGGTTGGCCATGACCCAGCTGGGCTTATGGATGCCTGGAAGCCTGAACAATTATTCTTTTTTTTTTTTTTTTAATATATCTTATTAATTTTTTACAGAGAGGAAGAGAGAGGGAGATCCCTTGGCCGGAATCGAACCTGGGACCTTTCAGTCCACAGACCAACCCTCTACCACTGAGCCAAACCGGCTTCGGCTCTTTTTTTTTTTTAAATTAATTTCAGAGAGAAAGGGAGAGGGAGAGAGAAACATCAATGATGAGATTCACTGATCAGCTGCCTCCTAAATGCCCCCCTCCCCACTGGAGATCGAGCCTGCAACCCAGGCATGGACCCCCTTGACAGGAACCCAACCTGGGACCCTCTGGTCCGCAGGCCAATGCTCTATCCACTGAGCATAACTAGTCAGGGCCTGAGCAACTATTTTTTTTTAAATATATTTTATTGATTTTTTACAGAGAGGAAGGGAGAGGGATAGAGTGTTAGAAACATCAATGAGAGAAACATTGATCAGCTGCCTCCTGCACACCCCCCACCAGAATGTGCCTGCAACCAAGGTACATGCCCCTGACTGGAATTGAACGTGGGACTGAGCCAAACTGGTTAGGGCTGAACAACTATTCTTCTTGGGCTGGAAAGGGGGTCAGAGTTTCAGCAGAGACAAACCTTCCCAACTTCACCTCAGATCTTCACCAATAAGTGTGAACGTGCTGGCTGCCGGCAGCGGGAAATGATGAAACTGACCTGTGAACGCTGTGACCGAAACTTCTGCATCAAGCATCGTCACCCACTGGACCATGATTGCGCTGGGAAGGGGCACCCAACCAGCCTGGCAGGGTAATTGCAGCCAAGTCTTCTACTTACCTATGGGACTGTCCCATCCTTCTGAACTGACTCAGTCTTTTTATTTTATTTTTATTGCTTTCAGAGAGGGAGAGATAGAAACATCCAAGATGAGAGAGAATCATGGATCGGCTGCCTCGTGCAAGTCCTCCACTGGGTATCAAACCAGCAACCTGGGCATGTGCCCTTGACCAGAGTCAAACCTGGGGCCTTTCAGTTCATAGTCCAATGCTCTATCCACTGAGCCAAACCAGCTAGGGCTGACTCAGTCTTTATAACTACAAGCTGGGAAGTTTGAACCCTGTCCTCTCTGTTTTAAAAAAATATATTTTATTGAATTTTTACAGAGAGGAAGGGAAAGGGACAGAGTTAGAAACATTGATGAGAGAGAAACATCAATTAGCTGCCTCCTGCACACCCTCTACTGGGGATGTGCCTGCAACCAAAGTATGTACCTTTGACCAGAGTCGAACCTGGGACCTTTCAGTCCGCAGGCCACTCTATCCATTGAGCCAAACCAGTTTTGGCAAACCCTGTCCTCTTTGACTAGGGAGTCTTAACTTCCTTTTCAAGTGCATATTTTTCCAGACTGTTTGGAGGAACTCCCTCCTAAGTTCTCTAGTAAGGCCTGAGGCGGAGCATGCCAGCTGATTACTCTAGGACACATGCCAAGAATGTCTCTTCCCTACAGACTTGCTGCTATCTCTAGGAACCAAGGCCTGGCTTCTACAAGCACTGTCCCCAGCCCAAGTCAGACCTTGCCTTCATCTCCCTCTCCCAGCAGGTAGGCCTCCCCATTTCTTCTCTCCCTTTTCTTCCTTCATATCTCTGACCTCTGCCTCTTATTTTTCTTTCTTTTGACCTCTGCCTTCTGAATGTCTGCCTTAGAGCCGCAGCCCATTCTCCATCATGGACCGCCCCTCCAGTGATTGCTTTGCAGAATGGCTTGGTGAGTTGAACAGAAGTTGAAAGGACAGAAGCAAACACACAGAGTCAAATCCAAGGCAACTGGTCTTGTTTTTCTTTTTTTGCAGAGTGAGGATGAGGCTCTGCAGCGAGCCCTGGAATTGTCCCTGGCAGAGACCAAAACCCAGGTCCCAAGGTACCTACTCTCTGGTGAAGGAGGATGGGATGTGGGAAAGAGATAGGTGGGATGAACTCTGATCTGTTGCAAGATAATAGTTAGGCCTGGCCAGCATGGCTCCATGATTGAGCATCAACCTATGAATCAGAAGGTCACTGTTTGATTCCCAGTCAGGGCACATGCCCAGGTTTTGGGCCTGATCCCCATTTGGGGGATGTGCAGGAGGCAGCTAATCAATGATTCTCTCTCATAATTGATTTTTCTCTTCCTCCCTCTCCCTCTCTGAAAGCAATGAAAATGTATTAAAAAGGAAAAGAAAGATAATTGCTAGATACTTGGGTCCAAAATTAAGCTTACTATGTGTTTGACAAGTTTTTTTTAACCTAGTAGGGTCTTAATTTCTTCTATAAAATGGAATCATACTAATACCTACATTGTAGAGTTGTATAGAAATTAAGATAATATTCAAAAGTGTTCAGCAAAAAAAAAAAAAAAAAAAAAAAGCGTTCAGCACAATGATGCCTAACAGATCAGGTGCTTATATTTTAGATAATATTGTCATGCAACTTAAGCTGCTCCCCTCTCCCAGTTCTCAGGAGGAAGAAGACTTGGCTTTAGCGCAAGCACTGTCAGCCAGTGAGGCAGAGTACCGACGGCAGCAAGTATGAGGATGGGATAGAGATGGGGTCGTGCACTGGGAGGGAGTAGGGAGTTTTGGGGCGGTTCTTCTAAGTGGTTGAAAGTTTTGGAATGGTGGTTATCTTTTTCAGTATGACTCCGGCCCATGCTGAGCTTGGAAGTGAGGACTGCCCACTCATTTCCATGACATCACACCTGTCTTCTCCTCCCCCTCTCCTTGCTCCAGGCCCAAAGCCGCAGCCTGAAGCCGTCCAACTGCAGCCTGTGTTAGGGCCTTGGGCTTGGGGAGGGAGGCTTAGCTGAGGAGGACTGTGGCCCTCACATCTCTAAGGTCCACAGGGAGAGGAGGCCAAGAGCAGCCTGGAGTGAAGATGAGGAGTGACTGTTTCCAGGGAGCATCAAGAGAAACAGCTGTAGGACTCAGCCTATAGAAGGCCCTGCTGGCCCTCCAGCTGCGTGGGAGAGAGCAGCTGTGACTGTTCCCTGATTGGGCCCTTGGAGGATGCTGGCCAGGCCCCATTCAACTCCTTGCATCATGTCATCCCCCTCACACTGGGGCTGCCTGCACGTGTAGGGACAGGGAGGGTCCTGGGGAGAATAAAACATAGTGGTAGCTAATAACACATCCAAGTGGTGTGTTTCTTTCTCTTTCCCCACCAAAGCCAGTACAGTCCTGTCAAGAATGCTCACCCAATCTAAGAGTAGAGGCCTACTGCAATATGCCACATCAAGAAGTCAGTGTTCCTAGCACAGTCCACACTTTTATTTCCCCAAAAATAACTACTAAAAGGTTCCTTACCCCCACTTTGGTTAGCACAGCACCCCGAGGCCAGGATTAACTATGCCATGGAAGAAGGTACATTTTATTCCCTTTCAGTGACCCTTTGGGAAGGAAGTAGCCACGACTTTGGTCACCATGCTTTAGGCTAGGTTTTGGTATCTTCAGTGATTTCATCCTGTCCCTGCTGCTGTAGCCGCCACATATCCGCATACATCCCGCCTCGGGACAGCAGAGCCTCGTGCCTGGAGCGAGGAGGAAAGTAGTGTAAGTCCCAACTATCGGTTTTACCACAAGAGTCCTCGCCACCAGCCCACAGAGATAACGGATTTGGCGAGAGAGCTCCTTCAGAAATCCCTGGGACTTTACAACCATATCCTGGGCCCATGATTCAGAGGCCTGGCCCTGTTCACCCTGCTGTGCCCCTTACCGTCCTCTCTCCACAATGCAGCCATCCTTGATGACGAGGATCTGGTCAGCATTGACCACAGTTGAGAGCCTGAGAAGTCAGACACTAGTTACCCACTGCACCTCCAAAAGTGGCCCCGCCTCCTGCTACCCCGGTCCTGTACCTGTGTGCCACTACAATGGTGGTGCGGTTAGCGCAGACTTTGGCCAGAGAAGACTGGATGGCCCTCTCATTAGATGTATCCAACGCTGATGTTGCCTACAGAGAGGGTCTGGGTGAATCAGCCCTTGCCACCCAAATTCCCAGTGGAAGGAGGATGCAAGCTGCTGGCAGAGGTCTCGGGTATCAAAAAGAACCTTGTTTGCACGTGAGAACTGTAAGGTGTTTTGTGAAGCATGGATTCCGGGATATCTCTCCCAGATGGAAAACGGAATGGCATGGGCAGATGGGGGGTGGGGGGGGGGGCGCGGGAGGGAGGGGTGAAAACTGTCAGGGCCCTCACCTCATCCAGCAGGATGATGTTGGGGTTCTTAAGAATGGTGCGGGCGATGGCAACACGCTGCTTCTCCCCACCGCTCAGCTTCAGTCCCCGCTCGCCCACCTGCGTCTCGTACCCTGTGGATATTGCCCACTTCCCTCAGGTCACACATGATAAACTTGGTTTCTGTGACCAGACAAGGCGAGGAAGGGATGGAACGGGGCAGAGGGAGTAACAGCCCAGGGCAAAACGGGGCCAGGGAAGCTCACCCTCAGGGAAAGCCAAAATGGCATCATGGATGCCTGCAGCCTTGGCGGCAGCCTCCACTTCATCATTCCCAGCTGTGATGCGGCCATAGCGAATATTGTTGGCAATGGTGTCATTGAAGAGGACGGTATCCTGGGGCACAACTCCAATGTGAGACCGGAGGGAGATCTGGGTCACCTGGGGCCAAGAGACGACATTCCCGGGCCTGTGAGATCCCCCCAGGCCTAGGAGGAAGGATGGGCTGGCAGAAAGCACATGGGAAGGCCCTGGGTAAAATTTCTGCCTCCACCACCCAAACCCCAGCTGTGTGGTTGAGTCCCTCAACCTCTCTGAGTCTGTTTCCCCATCACTAAAAGAGAAAAGACCCATTCTCTCCTGGCTTCCCTAGACTGCTGCTGATGTTTGTATCCTGTCCAGCACAGTCCATGACTCTTTCCTGTGTAGGTAAGATGGTGCTAGAAAGGCTAAGGTCTCCTGCCCCAGCTTTTTGCAGAGGTGAGGTCTCCTCCTCTCCCTGGATGCTTAGCACTTCCCATTCTTTTACACACAATGACATTACCCTCCCAAACAACCTCACCTGTGAAATGTCCTGACCATCTATTCGGATGCAGCCGGAGCTGATGTCATAGAAGCGAAAGAGCAGACGCAAAATTGTGCTCTTCCCTGCTCCAGATGGGCCCACCTGTTGTATTGGAAACAGAGGAAACCCATTCTTAGGACGGTTGGCTTTTAAGGCTTTTTCTCCAATAGAGCACCAATGACCATGGAGGCTGCCACACTCACACGTGACTAGACATGACAGGGCTCTCTAACTCTCAGCATAGATCACAAGCTACCATGGGCACTGGAATAAGGGAAGATGGAGGAGGCTGGGCCAAGTGGCTGGGTTTCTTCTTACCAGGGCCAGGGTCTGCCCAGGCATCACAGTGAAGGACACATCCTGCAGGGTCTCCCGCCTGCCAGGAAGAGCGGGTGTGGTCAGCAGGCCTACTGCACTCCCACTGCCCCCTTCCATCACCAGAGCTATTACTCAGCCCTGACCCTCCCAAGTAGGCTTTCTTCCTAAGAAGCAGGGATGAGGGGCAGGAAGGCAGTGTGTAAGTAGAGTGGGGAAGGGTCCAGGGGACGGTAAAGGGGGAGGGGCTCACCCATCAGCATAGCTGAAGTGCACATTCTCAAACTCAATCTGGCCCCTCTGGAAGCGAATGGGCCCCGCGCCAGGAAGGTCCTTCACCTGGGAGAGTGTCACCACGGTGTGGCGCTGTTACAGGTCTGGTATCCTCCAGACACCACAAATACCACCACGCGGTTCCTCTCACTCCCCCAAGCCCCACTCCTCTCTCTTCACTCACTTCTGTCTCCTCCTTCAGCAGGTCAAACATGTTCTCCATGTCAATGAAGTTGGTCTGGATCATCCTGCAAGCAGGTAACGGTTGGAGCTCCTCTGAGGAGCTGGGGAAATTATGCACTGCACAGGTGAGGGCCAGGGATCAGGTTACCTGTAGTAGGTGCCAAACCAGTTGAGGGGCATATACAGCTGGATGATGTAGGTGCCAAAAAGCACAAAGTCCCCGACCTATGGAGATCCGGGGAAGAGGATCATGCACAAGAGGCCTTCAGGTTATCACTCTGCCCACTTCTTGTCATCTCTCTGCTTCCCACCCAGGAACCTGGTGACCAGACATAGAACCCAGGCCCCCTCTTCCCTGTCCCCAGCACAGTTCTCTCACCTGGAGCTTCTGCTCACTGACAAAGTATGCGCAAAGCAGCGAGCCAGCAAGCAGCCCACCTCCAATCACCAGGTTCTGAGTCTGATTTAGTAAAACCAGTGACGCGCTTGACTTCCACTCCAAACCCTGTGGAAATTACAAGGGAGAGAAGAATGTCACATATACGCTGACCAAATCCAAACCTGAGCCCAGGCACCTTCAACCTCATAGCCCAAATTTTATTCTTCTTGGCTCTGGCAATTCCACAAGGCCAGGCCACTGCTGTCAGTAGACCTCAAACTACCGTGCTCACCTGATATTTAATGATGGCTTCTCGATAGCGTTCCACTTCATAACCTTCTGCATTGTAATACTTCACCTGATGAATTCAAAGCACCGTTTGACATGGCTGCAGCATTCAGCACCCAAATCACTGCTTCCAGATCCCCAATCCCTCCTTCCTTCCTAATTTTAAACATCTCGCATCCCGCAGCTCTTCTGGAGCCTTGGGGGTCCCAGGCACAGACCTCCATATTTCCATGCTTCACACCACTGCCACTGAGGCCTCTGTTACCGTTTCAAAGTTTAACAAAGAGTCCACGGCTCGTGCCCGGGTAGCATTTTCCTGTGCGTTCATATCACGTCGAAACTTTGTTCTCCACTCAGTGACGACAATGGTTAGGGCTACAGCATGAAAGGAGGGAAAAGGAGCAAAGATCAAGACAACATTTTCAACAGCAGAAACCACATATGTATGTCTGCTGCCTTCTACACGCTAACTCTATGTTACATCCCAGGGACCTGAGTTCTAAAGGGAGAACGTCCTAAGCTCCCTGAGGGAAGAGGCTGTGTCCAAGACACCTTTGCAGCCTGTACAAATCATCATCTGTGAAAATGCTTTTGATGAGCAAGTCAAGGCAAGCTGCATTTGTGACATAGTGAACTTTCTCCTTGACTCATATCCACAACGAGGACCTAATGTGACCACAATGCCCTGATCCTCCACACAGGTTAAGCTAAAGTTTCTGTGGTAGAGGAATATGCCCATCCACCATCATAGGGGAGCTGAGGAAACTATTCAAATCCACTAATCTATAGTCTTCCAAACAGGGTCACCCAAGTGGGGTCAGAGCTCATGCTCAAGGGATCCTTGGAGAGTTCAGGGAGCTGGTTTCACCAAGCAGCACTCACTGAGGTAAAGACTCATGCACAGGAACACGATGAGGCCAAACCAGGCGTTGAAGAACATGCTGAAGTAGATGATGCCAATGATGATGTCAGCTAGTGTGGGGAGAACGTTGAATACCAGGTAGCTGGGAGGGGAAGTCAAGTGACAAAGAGGTATATGGGCTCAGAGCCAGCAACTCCACCTCTAGCAGTTTCAGTGTGGTGTTTTGTTTTCAACAGCAACAGACTGCAATCAAGCTAAATGCCTCTCAGGAGGTGGATGGCTAAAGGAAACACAGCATGCTCCAACTACAGAATGCTCTGGGTCTATCATAATAAAACAGGGAGATGTATTTATGCTCCAATGAGAATACATCTCCATAACATTTTTGTTAATAATGGGATTGTAAGGCCCTAGTGGTCTGGCTCAGTGGATAGTGTGTCAGCCTGAGGACTGAAGGATCTCAGGTTCGATTCCAGTCAAGGACACATGCCCAAGTTGCAGGTTCGATTCTCAGTGGGGGGTGGGCAGGAGGCAACCAATCAATGATTCTCTCTCATGGATGTTTCCATCTCTCCCTTTCCCTTCCTCCCTGAAGTCAGTAAAAATATATTTCAAAAGTAAAAAAAATAATAATAATGCAACTCTGAGGATGATGCCTATATTGTGATACCACTTGTTTTAAGAAAAACCTTCACAATACCACTTTAGTTCTGGGAGTATGCACAAATACATGTAAAAATGCCAAGAAGCAGAACTCAACATACTAAATGCAGTGGGAACCTCTGAAGAAGTGAGCAGAATTCAAAAGAGGTTTGCTCTCAATCCACTTTAAGTTATTACAGAGCATATGCACATTAATCTTATTAAAAAAAGAGGGCGAAAGGGCAGCTTCTCAAGCTGGATCCGTTCTCAGGCCCCCCTGCTTTTCTTGCCTCACCCCCTCCCACCCCCTTTCCATGGGCTTGGTACCTGAGCAGCCCAGTGACACTGGATGTGCCCCGGTCAACCACTCGCAGCACCTCCCCTGTTCGGCGCCCCAAGTGCCAGCGCAGTGAGAGCTCGTGCAGGTGGGAGAAGAGGCGCAGCTCCATCCCCCGAGATGTGAACTGCTGCACCTTGATCCACAGGAATGTGCGAAGGTTGCTCACAAAGCCTGGGGGGAGCCAGGGGAGGCTTCAGTAGAGCTAAGGGGACAACTGACATCAGCCCAGCACCCAGACGTGAAAGGCCAGAAAGCACCAAAGAGCCTAGGGGAGGAATGCCTATGGGAGAGAATGATCTGGAGGAGAGGGAGGGGCCAGTACCAGGGTGAGAGTCCTGCATACCTGTACTGCCAGTGCCACCCCCCTGGAGGAACTTGAGGAAGACATAGGTGGTAACAGTCCAGGCCAGGGAGTTCCAAGGTGCCTTCTCAGTCAGCAGGTTTACTATGGAAAAATGAGTATAAGCCTACTTAATGCCCCCCTAGGCCCCTCTTCAGAAGAGACTGCCCCAGGCACCAACCATAGCTTTTTGCTGACCACCCAGCTCTCAACTCTGTCGTACTGCCCTGGATTGACCACCTGCCCCCGCCCTCCAATCAGTCCATGAAGGACCAGAGAGCTAAGCTGGCACTCCTCCCCCTCACCTATGTTCCTATAGAAGATGGGGACCAACACATTCAGTCCCCGGTCCAACCCCATGAGCCCCAGGCAGATGAGGACAACAAGTTGCAGAGCTGGATTTCCCCGAGGCCATAGGTAGCCACTCAGTAGCCGGAGCTTCCTGCCAAGGTCCCGCCAGGTAGACACTGGTGGCCCTTCTATTGACTGAACCTAGGATGACGAAACACATAGAAGATGGGAGCTCAGAAATCATAAAGTGCACTAGATAGAAACCTTCTAGGGAAAATGTATGGGATTGCAGATCCCAGGCATTTTAGACCCACAAGCCCCGATGGGATCAGAAAGGCTAACAAGGCACAATGAGAGATTAGGATAAGAAACAGTCTATTATGGTAGGAAAAAATGACAGGAAATGAAATACAGACAGACCCTAAGGTTCAGAAGTTGAGGTGTACCTGGCTGCTTTCTACATCTTGATCATCTTCATTAACCCGAAACGTGTAGGACTGGGGACGAAGTCCGGGAGCCCAGAGCCCCAGGACAAAAAGCCCTCCAGAGACCACATAGCGCAGCACCCACAGGCCAAACTGTACCTAGAATGAAACGTGTGAGGAGAGTATCAAACAGGGCCAAATCCCATTGTTACTACTAAAACAGGGTTGAAGACAGGTATAGATAGGGCATGCACCCCGGTCCTCCTCAGGGGCCCAGCATGTAATGGGTTGGGGGGGAAAAAAAAATCCACAATGACTCAGCACAACCACGCCCTACCCGCTGGCTATCAGCTCTGAGCCAGAGTCAGCCCCTCCCTTTTCCTTTAGTCACCACAAAGCGTGGAGCCTGTACGACCAGACTAGACATCCTTCTTCCCAGCCCCTGCCACCCATGCTTCCACACTCCCATGAGTCCCTCACCTGCTGGCCCAAGTCAGCCCTTGCCCACCACCACTGTGGGCTGTTCCAAGACACCAGGGCCAAGTTCTCCGCTGCAAAAGTCACAGTCCAGAGGAGCAGGAGACCGGGGCTGTGACTGAATTTGATCCAGGCGCCCATTGCCAGTTTCTGCCGTGCCTGGCTCCGTTCCACAACCAGCAGTCCCAAGCCACAGGCGCCGGCCAGGGTCCCCAGGACGGAAGCCAGCAGTAGGTAACCTGGCAGCGGGACCCCCCGCGCGGTGCCCACTCGACCAACCAGGCTGGCCAGGGGCAAGGCCACCTGAAGTGTGGCCAGAAGCAGCTGCAGCACGTAGGGAGCCACAAGAGGACCGGCCCCCCAAGACAGCGCGTCGGAGACTGCTGGCCGCTCCCGGCGCTTGCAGGGAAGGGCAAGAAGCAAGGCCAGAGTCCCCAGGGCCATCAGCACTGAGGGCGTGAGGGTGAAGAAGAAGCAGGGGCTCAGGCCACCCTTCGCCCAGGCCGGACCCGCGGGCCCTTCGGCCTCGCAGTAGTTGCCCACAGTCACCATGGCAATGCGTGGCCGCCGGCCGAGGCTGCGGGGACTGCGAACGGGGCCAGCCGCTTGGGGAGGGGCGCGGGCGCCGGGCAATCTCGGGTCATGGAGCCGCGGGGGTCGCTGTCAGGGATGCACGTGGACCCGGCCACACCGCCCGCTCGCTCCGCGCGTGCGCCGCCGCCACGCTCTCGGCGCACTCACGCAGGGCACGTCCGCCGTCTCTCCCGCCGCGGCCGCCCCTCGCTCGCCAGCGGGACCCCGGGCTGAGCGGTCCGCACGGCTTTCCAGAGTCGGACTCGAGCCGCATTCTTTTGCAGCAGCTCCGCCCACCGTAACCGCCCAGTCCCTTCCCAGTCATTGGCCATGTCGCCGAAGGGGCGGGGTAAGGGGTGCTGTGGGGGGAGGAGGGGGAGGCAAAACAAACCAGCGGAGTCAGCTCGGTCACGTGCTCAGAGCGGGAAATCTGACCGCCCATCCGGCTGGAGACCTTGACCTCCAAGGAGTCTTGGATGGGAAACGGCCCTTTTGCTAAGCCCGCTAAGCCCGCTAGCTCCTTATGTCCGAGACACCGCATAGGCCCACTTTCCTACAGGGCCAGTCCCGGTCCCCAGCCACCTGGAGGGATCACATGTACCCCACTCCGCTTGTCCCCAAAACCCTACCCGTGGAGACAACATGGCCGCGACCTGGTCAAAGTCCCTTCTTTATTAAGGGTAATCAAGCTGTACACAGTCCCCACCACGTTCAGTTTCACTGTGATTTCAGGCAGCGCAACTCACCACTCACCGCAGCGGACCAGAGTCGAGTGAGGGTGGGGCTGAGGGTAAGAGCTGGGTCCCAGCATGCAATGCGGCAGCCCAAAGCTTAGGGCAAAGCCATCCTGCCGCCCCTTTGTCCCCCTCTAGGGGACAACAGGAGGCAGGCCAGAGCTCTCTAGCTGGGAGGTAGGACCAGGGCATACTCCCACCCGTCCCTTGTGCAGGAGGAGGGAGGGATGGGGATACAATAAGCAGTAATGGGGGCCAGGAAGGCCTCAGTTTCCCAGGGGCCATCTGAAAAATTGGACAGGGCAGCAAAAAAAATGTCCATCCTGCTCCTGTAATTTAGAAACCATCCTTAGTGTCAAAAGATAGCGTGAGGAGCTGGGAGCTAGGGCCTCTACGCCAACGCAAACCAAAAGTTGAAGAGAAGGGAAACAAGCGAACAAAACCAGAGCAAGCAGCTCACATGCCAGTGATGTGCAGGAAGGGAGGGGTGAGCAGGCTGTAGCACTGGGAGAAATGGGGGTGAGGTAAGGGCCACAGCCTGAGCTGCTCATCCGTTCAGGATGGGGAGAGGGAGGCCACAGAGGTTGAGGGTCCAGGCCCAACCTCCCTACTCCACAGTTGGCACAGGTTCTCCCTGGTTGGCAGCTTCTGTGGTGGGCAGTCCTCTGGAAACTCGTAGGGGTAGGTGCAAAGGTGGCAGTACTGGGGCTGGGCTGGGGACCAGTTTCTAGCACCACACTCTGAGCCAAGTGGGTTCCTGGGGATGAGGCTCGAGTCCTGTGTGTCCTGGTTCCTAGGCCCCCGATTTCTCTCCTGGAGCTGTGGTGAGCCCAGTATTGGCACCTTTCTTGGCCAGGCACGGACACACAAACACCATACGCGTGGAGCCAGGCAACACTCAGAGAAGCCCTCCGTGGCAGGTGGATGGGATGGCAGGGCAACAGATGCCTCCATCCTGGGGCATAGGGACTCTCCTCTGCCTTGTCTAGACCTGTGGAGAGAAGAGGGTTGGTAGTAGAGATAGTCTTCAGCTATCTGCTGCTTGCTTAACAGAAGCCTGGAGATAAAAGGAAAGCTTGATTCTTGGGGAGCTAAGCAAAGGCAAAATCAAGGCCTGTATTTCAGAGCAGGTGAGGAAAGAAAGAGGAGTATATTTTGGATGAAAGGGTGCAGAATCTCTGCTTGAGAGGCCCAACTTTCTTCGTGTGAGCTGTGACCTCAGCCTGGAAGTTGCTATTTTGGGCTGTTAATAGGTCCTAGAGCCCTTACCTTCTGCACCTGAGGGGGAAGCTCATCCTCAGAGCCCTCCTCGGGCACAGGCTCTGGGTGCCTTGATGCTGACTGTCCATCTTCAGCCCACCCGCCAAGGGGCAGCCGGGAGGAGTGAGAGGGAGCCCGGGGCACTGTGCCAGGATCTAGAGACACAAGTAAACACTCTTAGAATGAATACAAACAGAAATGAGGGAAAGGGTTCTGGGGTTGCCCTGGGCGGGGACAGAGAGGTGTTTTTCTCCTTGGCCTGGTCCCTCTGCTTTCTTTCTTCACCAAGAGGGATGTGAAGAAAGGCTGTGCTCTGAACGTCCGCTGGATACCTGTGATGCCACCGTAGCGCCTCTGGAAGCCCCCCTGCAGGGCAGTGGTCTCAGGTGCTCCAGACCGGGATACAGCAGCACAGGGATAGCTGGCAGAGCGGGGGATAGGTTGGAGGTGCCGGGCACTTTCTCCCCCCTCTTCAGGAGCACTCTCCCCACTGTCATCACTCTCCCGGCGGTGCCACACATGCCTCTCAGGTTCAGCCTGGGCCTGCTGCTTGTGGAGCTGGGAAGTGGAAGGCTCATTAGTTGGGAACAGAAGGGTATTTGTCTGAAACTGCTGCTCCCCTCCATGGTATCAGCCAGTTCCCATTTATACCACATCTCACCTAGAATCACTGACCTGAGCGTCTATTGTGTTTATATACATAACAATATACATACATACAATGTTTTACAGGTTAAATTCTTAGCAGATCCCTGGAATGAGCCTGTGCAAAGGTTAACTAGCACCCATTGTATCTAGTCACTTGATTCAAGAACTAATTATGGATCTAAATGCCAGGCACTCTTTTAGGTGCTGGTGATATAACAGTGAAAAACAGACCAAAATCCAAGCCCTTTTCGGGCTTATACTGATATACTTAGGAGGAAGGGGGAATATACAATAAACAAATAAGGAAATAAAATATGTCAAATGGCAAAGTACTGTGGAGAAAAACGGAGTGGGAAGATTCAGAATGGCGGGCAAGGGAAGTTTTTCCTTAGTGTGGCCAGAGACGGGTCACATGGAAAAGTTAAGAGCAGAGATCTGATGAGGAGGGAGCCATATAAATATCTCAGGGAAGGGACTTCTTGGCAGGGGAAACCACAGTGTGTAAAGGTCCTGGATGAGAATAAGCTTGGCTAAATGGATAGTAAGAGGGTATATGTTGGAATGGAAATTTCAGAGCAGGTAAATGGCAGAGCAGAGATTTGAACCTACATCTTGCTTCTCCACATCTAAAACCCTCTATTCTATTTTTCAACTGCTACTTTGGGTCTGTGGCCTTGCTCCTTGCTGCCCACTCACCTGGTGCATATAGAGGGCGTGCAGGCTCATCTCAGTGGATGCATACTCTGACAGCACCAGGCTCTGCAGCTGTCCTTCCCACACACTGCTCCCAGAGCTGGCTGTCCTGGCATCCATCCTGTCCCTCCCAGCACAGACAGAGAGCAGTTATTAACATTTCTGAGATTGATATAAAAAATACTAGGTGCTACTGCTATGCCCTCCCATCTTGGCCCACCTCTACTCACCCAGAGCCTGTCATGATACTGGGAGCCCGGCCCGTGGAAACCTGACCAGATTGCAGAGGGGAGAAGGAGCACAGGGCAGAGGCGACTTCAGTCCTGTGCCTTGAACCCTGCAGGTCTCGGGGCAATGAAGGACCACGGCAAGATGAGCCGGCCACTACATTTGCAATAAGACTCAGTGGCTATGAAAGAAAAGGGTGACAATTCTCAGGGCAGGAGGGAAGCCTCTGGGGCCCCCAATATTTTTTACATCAGGAACCAATGGGTGCTGGTCTGAGAGAAGGAAAACGATAGGGTAGGCCCTTCCGCCCCATGCCCAGTCCTCAACTCCAGCTCCTGGAGTCCACTCTGCCCATCATTTCCCAGCCCCCAGGAACACACCTCAGACTCAGATTGTAGGGACTGGATGGACGTAAAGAGGGCATTTTCAGGGAGTACACCCCCTTGGGCAAGGCCAGCAGCTGCTCCATCCCGCTGAACCTGTTCCTTGAGGAAACCCAGGAAGGCTGTGCTCTCACGTGGTGGCTGCCAGGCAGGGTTGGTGATGGCAAAGTGCATAAGTGACAACTCTGTTTTCCCATCCTCGGCTTGCTGGTACACTGAGGCCTCGGTCTGACCAGCAGATAGCCACTGCACGAGAGAGGCCACAGTGAGAGGATAGTCCTCTTACAGGAACCCTTTTTTTTACCCTTCTTGCTAGGGAGATGTTTGCCCCTGGAGGACAGAGACTGCAATGCACTGCTGTATCTTGTCCGTGTTCCACAACTAACTCCCTGGTGCCCACCCCAGGAGTGGCTACATGCTGAGCTAACTGCTTGATATGTGCCTTTCTCAGGAAGCTTCTTGGCCAAAGCTGCAAGTTTAGGGCTAAAATGCAGCCCAGGCTCCTGTTTATCAAGCAGTGTGTGCCTGGAGACAGGGCTGCTGTTTTTGATGTGTTGGCTCAGGATAGATACCTTTCTGCAGTTTGCCAGCACTGTCTCTAGCTGCCTGCCCCCTCCTCTCCCTGTACCTGAGGGTGCCCATGCTGGCGAACATCCATCTGGGCAAAGGAGCAGGTATCTCCAACACCAACGACCTCCACAGTGAAATTGCGGAAGAAGTCTATAATTTCCAGGGCCCGTGGACGCAGGCAGAAGATGAGGATGAGGGGTGTGACAATGGGGCTCAGTAACTCCTCCAAGATGAATACCTACAACGGAAAGGACCACGGCCATGAGAGCAGGAAGGATCCCCGGCCTCACCACCAAGCTATCAGCCAGTTTCTAGCAGGCCCTAACTCCAACTCCACTCACTGCCTTGTACTGGAAGAGCTGGGCAAACTCGTCCCGGGTCTGCGAGCGGTGGGCATTACCCTGCCAGTGGTCGGGCATGTAGTGGATGTGAGCGAGGATCACGCGGAGCAGCTGCTCAGGGCAGAACACCATGTGCTGGTCTGGGATAAAGGACCTACAGGATGAGGGTCACAGTGAGATGTCAGCCTTGCCAGGGAATACTAGTCAGCTCGCTCCCACTGCTACCCTGCCCACCTGCACACGGTCACAGTGACCCCCAGGAGTGTGACGGTGGTGAGGACATGTTCCACAGCTAACACATCTTCGTCGTAGATGGTGAGGGCGATGAGCACGGCCAGGATGGAGCCAGCAAAGAAGGCGCCATTCTTGGCCAACAGTGTCAGCAGAGGTGACAAGAAGCAATTCATGTACTTGGAGGCTGGCTTGTAGCCACGGTTCAGACGGGACTGCAGCTCATGCTCCAGCTCGTTGAAATGGCGGAGGTAGCAGCGGCCATAGAGTGACCAGCAACGAGCTCCCAGGGCCCCAGGCTCCCGCTTCAGCACCTCAGCATAGCTGAAGAAGGCATAGAGGATCTGCCAGATGAGGATTAGGGGGCACAGCAGGAAGTTGGCGATGCCAATCCAGAGGATGCGGTTGCTGAGGCGCTGGGCCAACTCTAGCCGTTGCCCCCCACGTTTGTACTCGGCCTTGAGGCTCCACTCATTGAGAAACAGAGAGCCAGGTCCCCAGAAGAGGATCAGCTCGAAGTTGTACTTGAGGCCACGGGTGAAGAAGACAACCTCCCCAAGGCCAGGCAAGCGGAAACGCAGGGGCAGGAGGGATTTGTTCACCAGCGCCACCATGTAATTCTGGAATCGGAGGATGCGGTGGTATATGTCCAGCTCTGTCAGCTCACGCTTGTGGATACAGATCTGGTGCTCTTTCTGGGTCTGCACGATCCGAGCCTGCACTTCCTGCCACGTGCAGTATGGAAGGGCAGACTGTGGGGTGGGGAAGAGACAAGGTGTGGAAGGTGGGATGGTTGCCTTGACCCCTTGCCCTGCATTGCCTGAGAGGCTCAGGAGTCCTGTGCTTAGTTGAGTGGAGCCAATAAGCAGATGCTCCCTCACCTGCCAATGACAGCTGAGGAGGCCTGATGCTCAGAAATACCCCCCACCCTTACCAAGGTGAAGAAGGCATCTTGGGCTATGACGCTAACTGCCCAACTTCCGAGGCTCACCATGGGGATGCGCAGAGCATGCAGGTAGAAGGAGTGGATCTCCCAGTAGCAGCAAATGTTATAGATGAACTTGATAAGCCGGTGGACCCAGAAGACACCAGCGATGACCAGAATGGTGATGAGAGAGCCATTTTCCTGAATCCTGGTGGGGTAAACAACGGCGAGAAGGGGTATCTTTAAGGATTCTTGGCAGCTATGCTGCTCTCCTGGAGGATTCGGCAAGGCTGGGACTGAGTCTCTGTTCTAGGGGATGTGTTACTGCCTCACATTCCACTCCACCTCCCACCTTCGATCAGAACTACAGACTCTGATGCCCTCTGACCTGCAGCCCTTACCTGGCACTACAGACTTGGGCAGGCAAAAAGGCATCTGGCAGAGTGACCTTGACGGGCTCGGTAGGGTGAAGACTGTGGTTCACCATCTTGTTGGCAAATAAGATGTCATAGTCCACACAGCTGACCAGAAAGGTGGTGAAAGCAACCACAAAGAGGAATTGCCTAGGGAGTTAGGAAGAGGGGCGCAGCCCGAGTCAGAGAGGCAACAGTGAAAGAGCGTAGAAAAGAGAGGAGTCTGGAAGCAGCAGAACAAGATTAGGGAGCAGCCTCTGGGAAATGCAGGGGCTGGGGAACTCCTAGTGGGCTCTCTCTATTGCTCAGCCCTACAAATAAGCTCCTATTTTTTTTTTTTTTTTGCTTTTAGCTTCAGGCTCTATAGAATCAGTTTGCTTCTGTCTTTCGCCTCACAGTAATCTCTGCCACTATTTACTGGACTCTTTCAAAAGTCTTGATTGTTGTCGCTGGTTCCTGGTCCCTGACTTCCTTTTGAGATAGTAGTTAGAAGCCCTTTGGGGATTTGAACTCTTTTCTTACTGAGGGACAGTTTCCCAACCCCTTCCTCTTTGGCAAGGCCATATGGCTCCTTCCTCTTAGAAGGCTCTCTGCCCAGCAGCAGGTCTAAGGCGCAACCAAGGCAGAACAGAGATACTTTTCTCAAGAGGCTGGCATCTCTGAACCATGCCCATTCCATTGGAGCGCTGATGAAATGATCAAGTCTCAATTCTCTTCAATGGAAGAGACAGAACTTGGAAAGTTTATATGGGAGATAAAAATGGTGAAGACTATAAATTTTGATGCCGTATCCAGTCCCTGAAATAGAAAGGTTTGTAGCATTTTGAGCCTAGGACTGAGATGCATTGGCAGGTAGAGCCAGCGGGGAGCTCAAGGAGAGTAAAGGCTGAGATGTAATCCTTCACCAAATGATCCACCACTTTTTATACTTACATAAGCTCAAAGATCTCCCCGATGAGCATACAAGTGAAGCCATTCTTTTGGTGTAGATTATAAACGTGTAATTCTTAAGGAAAAGTGGTTCGTAGAGACAGCAATTAAGAGCACAGACTTTGGTGTCACATACCTGAGCTTAAGTCCTGGCTCAATGACTTTCTAGCCATGTAATTTTGGCCAAGTACTTAACCTCTTTAAGCTTTTGTCTGCTATTGGGGTAATAGCACCTGTCTCATAGGATTATTAAGTCTAAGACAATGCATGTAAAGTATTTATCACAGAGCTGACACAGAATGAATCAAAAGACATTATTATGGTTATTAGCATCCCATCAAAAAGGAGGATTATTCTCAGAGTGGTTCCTTATAAATAAACACCACAAAGTGAAAGGCACAGCCTGGTCAGTGTGGTTGAATGTCAACCTATGAACCAGGAGGTCACGGTTCAATTCCTAGTCAGGGCACATGCTCAGGTTGTGGGCTTGATCCCCAGTGTGGAGCATGCAGAAGGCAGTGATTCTTGCTCAGCATTCATATTTCTGTCTCTCCTCCTACATTCCTCTCTGAAATCAATATAAATATTAAAAACAACCAAAAAAAATTCACAACACTTAAAAAAAAGTAAAAGATACATAGCTCTTAGTAAATGTGGGATATCATTACTTACAATAATCATTATTTCCCCCATCCTCTTTTTTTTTTAACATTTAAAAAATATATATTTTATTGATTTTTACAGAGAGGAAGGGAGAGAGATAGTTAGAAACATCGATGAGAAAGTCATCAATCAGCTGCCTCTTGCACACTCCCTACTGGGGATATGCCCGCAACCAAGGTACATGCCCTTGACCGGAATCGAACCCGGGACCTTTCAGTCCCCAAGCCGAGGCTCTATCCATTGAGCCAAACCGGTTTTGGCCCCCATCCTCTTTTATTTATTTATTTATTTATTTATTTATTTATTTATTAAATATATTTTATTGATTTTACACAGAGAGGAATTGAGAGGGACAGAGAGTTAGAAATGTCGATGAGAGAGAAACATCGACCAGCTGCCTCTTGCACACCCCCTACTGGGGATGTGCCCGCAACCAAGGTACATGCCCTTGACCGGAATCGAACCTGGAACCCCAGCCCGCAGGCCGACGCTCTATCCACTGAGCCAAACCAGTCCTGGCCCCCATCCTCTTTTAATCTCAATAGTTCCATCCCCTTACAGGGATTATAACCACCTCAACTTCCCATCAGAGGCCTGGCTTAGAGAGCGGCTAAACGTCCCACAGCTCCAACACAGAGACACAAAGGATATTCGAGAGAAGAAGAGGTCGAGGTTTTCGATGTGGTGCCAAGGTGCTGTGGGCACAGGAATAGAGATGTCAGAGCCCTGAAGCAACGAAAGCCCCTTGCTCCCCACTCCACCAACTCTCCCCCATGCCCCAGCTCTGGCTATCATGGCCAAGAACTTACACTTGCTCCCCTCAGGGACGTGCACCAGCAGGTCCTCCTCTCCTGGGGGTGAATCGCTGTAGGAGGCCTCTAGGCGCTGGTATTCAGTGTCAAACTGCGCCATCACCACCGCCCCCGGTCCACCTTATCCACCTGCCAGAAATGAGGAAAAAGAGACCCAGGGTTTGCTTGTCTGCTGTCCTGCCTACTAGACTAAGAGTGAGAAAGAATCCTTGGTTCCCACTATCATCTTCTTAACTGAAAGACAGAGGAGAAGGAGTAATGAAAGGATAGGAGTAAATTCAGGGCTTGGGCGACCTTAACTGGCCAATGAGGTCAGTCATTCCAAGAGCCTTTCCTGAGTATATGCTGAGGTCTGCTGGCCTGAAGTCAGACTCCACCCCTTTGGGGGATCTGTTTCATTTTCTATTAGTAGAGAGAAGGGGCCCTCTCCCTGCCCTTCTGGAGAAACCTGGTCTCCTAAGAGACTAGCAGTTTGGAAGCATTTTGTAAACAAATAAGCACATGGTCTTACCAGCTCCATGGACAGTGTCTGTTTCACTCCAGCTTTGATGTCCTGGCTCTGCAGCTGCTGGAGAAGATGTCAGGCCCCAGGGAGTAGGGAGTGGGGAAGGAAAAAAACATCTTCGAAGGCATCCCCTCTACCCCCCAACCCCACTAAGAAAGGGCCAAGCCTGGGAAAGCCTAGGGTTATGCACATTTCCTCTGGTAGCACTATAAAGGACCACTCATTCAACTCAAGAAGTGACTTATTGAAGCTGTGAAGACTAAGTCAGTACCGGCCCGAGGTCTCTCCATTGCTCCACCTCAGCCTCAGAAATTAGGCCAACAGGGTCCACAAAGCCACAAACCCAATGAGACCTTTCTGGTCAACCTCTTCCCCTGCTTCCCTAGCACTGAAGGAACAGCAGGCAAGCATAACTTCTGGATGGGAAGTCCTGACCAGGTCCGTGTAGATTCAGATCCAGGACGAACTGTGTGTTCTGTAGGTCCATGGAGCCAGGCATGGTCCAGGTGGCACTCACCCAGTCTTGCGGCCCTGGAGCACAGCCCAGCCTGCCCCGGGTGGGATTTCCTAGGTTCGGGGGGGCCCAGGGTCCCAAGGAGCTGATGAAACCCTCAGGGAACTCACCACTCACCGGGCAATGTGGACCCAGGGCCCATAGAACCCCAGCCGGCCGGGCCTGGGCTCAAGGGTTCTTGCTGATGTCGGCGGTGAGAGCCCGTCCGACAGTTGACACCCGCGGTGGGCTGGGTTGCTCCCCACCACACCCAGTTGCCACGACTGGAGCCCAGCGCGCCCAGGACGGTCCGGCCCGGGGCTCGGCTCCCTACAGCGGACAACCCTGCGCGCGGCCCCGCCGCCTGGCGCGCTCCCGCCCGCGTGCCCGGCTATCAAAACACTCCGGCCGCGCGCCCGCGCCCCGCCCGCGGCGCCCCTTCCCCCGTTACCCGCCGCGAGCTCACTCCGGTCTCCGCGGGCGCCCTCCGCCTGGCCCGGCCCAGGTCCTGAGATACCAGTACCCGGCCTCGCGGTTCACCTCGGGAACGTGACCCCGGGGATCCTGGGGATCCAGCAGCTCCGGAGGACTCGACCCGACCCAGAGCGCTAGGCCCGGCGTCTGCCACTTACAGTCACCGGCAGCCAGCCGGGCCAATGAGCACGGCGGGGCGGAGACACGGCGGCCGATCCCCCCCACCCCCCGCTCCGGGGGCGGGACTAAAGGCGGGTCCTGAGCGGCCGGAAGGCCAATTGGGCGCTCTGCGTGGGGCGGGGCTCAGGTGAGGGCGCTGCTTGTTTGTCCCGTCCGCGGCGCCGTAGCTGCGAGATCGCCGTGGAGTTGCAGAAATCCAGGCTTGGAACTGTGGACATGCGTAACTCGCTGCAGTTTGGGATTTGTGGTACAGCCTCCGCGGGCGAGGAGGAGCGCACGCAGCTTAGTCATGGATGGAGCTCATCGCACGAATCACGCAGAGCGGTCGCTTTGAGTGATTTTTAACTCCGTTGGTTTCGATTTGAAAGCTGGACGCTCTCCCGTTTCACTCACGTGTGGCCGGAGACGAGGCTGGAGGTATGAGAAAGCGGGCGGGGGTCACGTATTGACCCCACAGCTGACTCCCGGTCCCGGGGTGAGGGACAAGGTGCCTGCAGCGCGGTGGAGACCGGAGTCTGGCAGGCAGTACATGCGGCTGTCGGACCTGGCTCCGGGACGGCTCTGCTTTTCTCCCCTCTTTTCTGCTCAGCCATGTCTCCGGCTCCAGCTGCCGCCCAGGCTCCTACGTCGGTCTCCCTGTTTGATCTCAGCGTGGATGCTCCGGTCCTTCGGGGCCTGGTCCTAGTGAGACACCGTCCCGGGGAGACTCTGGCCCAGGCACTGCGGACTTCCTCTCCAGGTATCCGGGAAGATTTGGGGTGAACCCACGAGAAACATGACAGGACTCTTTGCAGCTTATTGCTCCTCCAGAGAACACATTCCTATTGTGGTTTCCCAGTTTAGGAGCCCTTGTTGACATCTGCTTCTACGGGATGAAATGTATCTTAAATTCACTCAATCTCGAGGTTGTTTCTAACACAGATCCCTGAATTACTAGTGTCTCCAAATAAGTCTCTTGTCATTGCTTATGTTCTTGTCTCAGTAATGCCCTACCTACAAAAACACTTCAAAAACTCCTAGACCTTTTTTTTTTAAATTTGCTAGATATAGTACAAATTTAACTAAATTCCAATCAATCATTCCTTCATGCTGAATATAAAACAATATCATATTTGGTTATGTACAATTTTAGTTTGTCTCTGGCTATATTTTTCTTGAACCTTTTTTAAACTGCACGCTATAGTTTGAAACATAAACTTAAAAAATTGGCATTCAGGAAGTGGTTTTTGAACAGTTATAAATAATTTTAACCATACCAACATATTTTCTGCAAGAGTCCTCTAAAACCCTTTGGTTAATTTAAATACAATGTTTGACATAATCATTTTACATGTATCTTTTCAGAAGCATCTTTATTTTATAAAGTGATTACTATGCTATTTGTTTCTTTTAATATATTTTTAATGATTTCAGAGAGGAAGGGAGCGTGAGAGAGAAACATCAATGATGAGAATCACCAATTGGCTGCCTCCTGTATGCCCCACACTGGGGATTGAGCCCACAGCCCAGGCATGTGCCCTGACTGGGAATTGAGCTGTGACCTCTTGGTTCATTGGTTGATGCTCAATCACTGAGCCATGCCAGCCGGGCATGTGGCATTTATTGATTCATTACTAGACTAAAAATTCCTTGAAGGCCATATGGCAGAGGAAGATATATATATGTGTGTGTGTATATATATAAAATTCCAGGTACTATCTATTTGGACTCCCTTTCCACCTCTAATTATCCTCCCTTATTTAGGTTCAGGGGTGAAAACAAGCCCAGAAAGAAAACCATTCCAGGGTCCTCTGGATATTTCAGGGAAGTTATTTTGTTCAACCTGTGACCAGACCTTCCAGAACCATCAGGAACAGGTAAAACACCAGGTGCAGAAACAAATGGTGGATTAAAAAGTAGAATAGTGGGAGAGGAGACATTTGATGGATAATGATTAAAGGTTCACATTTTGAATAAGGCAGTTGATGTTACTCAGTCCTGGAGTCCTGTTACTGGTCTTGGGTACCATAAAAGGCCAGGCTGGGGCATATTTCCACAGTCTGCTTCCCTCATTGACTCCTACCAGAGGGAACATTATAAGCTTGATTGGCATCGGTTTAACCTAAAGCAACGTCTCAAGGACAAGCCTCTCCTGTCTGCCCAGGACTTTGAAAAGCAGAGCTCCACAGGTGATGTCTGGTGGGAAACCTTTGTGGGACTCCATGGGGGTGGAGGAAGGCCCTCATTTAGGAGCTTGAGGAAAGTTCAAAGATGAGGGATCAAACATATATCTCATGTTTCAGGAGATCTTTCCAGCATCTCAGGATCAGAAGACTCAGACTCAGCCCATGAGGAGGACTTACAGATACCAGACGAGGAGAGGGTTGAGTTTGAGAAGTCTAACAGATCCCAAGGCTTCTGCTCCCATCGAGTTCTTTTCCAAAATGCCCAGGGCCAGTTTCTTTATGCGTATCGCTGTGTCCTAGGCCCTCACCAGGCAAGTGACGGCACAGGTTGTATGGTTAACTCCAACCTTTTGTATATTCAGCCCAGATTTTCACTTCGCTCAGCCCATTTCTCACTTTTCTTCTTCCTTCCTATTGGGTGTGGGTATCAGGCTTAACAGCAGGCTTGTATTGAACTGGCCTGACTCTTGGGTCAAGTGTGATGGAATTAAGTTTAGAAACAGACCAATCTGGGTTTGGATTCTAGTTCTACCACTTGATCTTGACCACCTCTACAAGCCTCACATTTCCTTGTTTATAAAGTAGACCATGCCTCAAGTGGTTGTATTAAATGAGATAATGCATGTGAAGTAGTTAGCACTGGCACTTGGTTTCTTACTCTCAATGAATGTAACAGATATGTTTGTGCTGCTCCTGTCATCTAGTTGCTCCCAGAAGAGCCAGAACTGTTGCTACAAAACCTGCAAAGCGGAGGTCCTAGACACTGTGTGGTACTCATGGCTGCAGCTGGGCACTTTGCTGGTGCCATTTTCCAAGGGTAAGAGGGTGCTGTGTGGGGTTAAGGATGGAATGGATCCTGTTCAACTGGGAGTATCAGTTTTCCAGTACTGAGTTTGTGTTGTCTATAGAAGAGAAGTGGTGACACACAAAACCTTTCACCGCTACACAGTACGGGCCAAGCGTGGCACAGCCCAGGGACTTCATGATGCCCGGGGTGGGGCTTCTCGCTCTGCTGGAGCCAACCTGAGGCGCTACAATGAAGCTGCACTATATAAGGTAAGTTAGACATCTCAGATTTCGTGGCCCACTAATGTACCTTTTCCCCTCAACTTATTAAATGTACAGTAAAGCAGTTGACTCCTTTATCTTCCAGTCTTTATTATTTCTGGGTAAAGATAGAATAGAATGGATCCTCAGGAATCTCAATCATGTCCTTCCTCCCTCTGTGTTAATTTCTACCTTTCACTCCCTACACATGGGGCCATTTTTTGGTTGGAGATTTAAAAATAACAAGTGAAGATATACAGGGCTATGACTTTCTTCTCCAGGATGTTCGTGACCTGCTGGCAGAGCCAGAATGGGCTAAGGCGTTGGGGGAGGCTGGGACAATACTGCTGCGTGCCCCCCGCTCTGGCCGGTCCTTGTTCTTCGGAGGCCAAGGGGCACCCCTGAAACGGGGGGATCCCCGACTTTGGGATATCCCCCTCGCAACCCGCAGACCCACCTTCCAAGAGCTACAGCGTGTGTTCCATAAGCTGACCACTTTGCATATTCACGGTGAGCCTTTGACCCTGATCCCAACTCCATAGACCTTCCTGAACCTTCTAAACTAAACCTCGGGTTCTCATTTGTGCATCCAGATGATTTTCTAGCCCTTGGACTGCAGCCCAATCCCATCTTCCTGGAGAAAACCTGGGCTGGGTTCTCCTCAGCTAAACTTGAGCAACATCTTTTGTTTTATGGCAGGAGAAGACCCCCGGGAGAGAGTCAGGTTGGACTCACCTCAGTCATACTGGAAGACAATGAGAGAGAGGAAGGCTATTGAGGAAGAAAGAAAGGTTCCCAGTGATGAAAATGGGGCAGTAGAGCAGAATGAGGACTCTCCCAAACAGGGTTTGAGTACCATCTGTCAACTATCAAACTTTATTTGGATGTTTGTCCTGGAAATGCAGTAGCAAACCCCCTACTCTTGCTTTCCTATTTATAGATGAGCCTCATGCAACACACAGGTCTGTTGATAATATGGGATATGTGATAGCAATTATGGAGACAGGTTTAGTGACCTTCCCAAATCTCCTATTACTGCTTCCATTCATTGCTGTATCCCCAGTACTCAGAAACGTCTTAGCATGAAAATGTTTAAATATGTGTTGCATGAATCTCACAGAATTTACCTGTCTTACTAGATGCTTCCTGGGCTGCAGACTCTTGACCTGCATAGCTGTCACTACTTCTATGCTTTCCTTTGTGTGTACCATCTTAAGGCTGCTCATGGGAGTCTTAAGGACTGTACTTGTCGGGACTGAGAGCTTCATTTCTGCATGTCATACTAATTGATTCAACTCTCAATATGCTACTTTATCTTGGGTGACAATACAAATAATTTTATTTCAAGATGATCTGGATTCTCTTTATGTACATTCTTATGCATTTGAGATAGCCCACATCCTTACACTCTGCTTATTTAGATGGATCTAATACGTCGGGTTTTTCCCTAGGTTCAGAGTCAGAGGGAGAAGATGACTTCCAGGTAGAGTTGGATCTAGTAGAGTCGACAATTGGGACCCTGGATCTTCGTGAATTTGAGATATTGCCCAAGCGGAGGAGGAGAAAAAGGAATAAGAGAGAGAAAAGCCAAGACTTGGAGGTTGGGGCACGTGTGGCTCTTCCACAACAACCTCAAGAAGACAAGGCCTTCTCACAGTCAACCAAGGCTTTGGAGCCTTTCATGAATGAGGCCAAGGTCCCTGGCCAGCCAGAGCTTTGGGACATGCTTCTTGCTGCTTGCAGAGCTGGAGATATTGGGATGCTGAAAATCCACCTAGCTGCCAGCCCCATAGACCCTGAAGTTCTGTCTCTGCTCAATGCCCCCTTGGGCTCCAGTGGCTTCACCCTCCTGCATGCAGCAGCCGCAGCTGGGAGAGGCTCAGTGGTTCGCTTGCTGCTAGAGGCAGGTGCTGACCCCACTGTCCGGTAAGGGTCCCCACGGCGAGCCCTTTGGGGTACAGAGAGGACAATCTGAAGACTAATGTTGGTATTAGCTACTTGACAGTGTTCCCCTCGGTCTGGTTAGGTGATGATGTTAAGAGATGCAACAGGCAAGTTGAACCCATTTTGGGGGTTTCCACACCTAGGGACTTCCGGACTCGGCCACCATACATGGTTGCAGCTGACAAAGCAACACGTAATGAGTTCCGAAGGTTCATGGAGAAGAATCCCGATGCTTATGATTACAGCAAGGCTCAGGTCAGCTGGGAAAGGAAGCAGCAGCAGAGTGGGATGACATCATATATCCTGACTAGATCTCTTCTACTTCCTTAGATTTACCAAGGATAGTTTTTATGTGTCTTACCTCTTACCTTCCCCGAAATCCTCCAGGTGCCAGGGCCACTGACATCAGAAATGGAGGCGCGGAAGGCTATGCGGAAAAGGGAGCAGAAGGCAGCCCGGAGGCAACGGGAGGAGCAGCAGCGGAAACAGAGGGAGCAAGAGAAGCAGGAGCAAGAAGAACAGCAGCGATTTGCTGCTCTCAGTGACAGAGAGAAGGTGAGGCTGGAGGTTTTCTCTTCCACCCTGAGACTTCCTGAGAGGTCTAGTCCCTTCCCAATGTTCAACTGGTACTTCTTGGGTACCCTACCCACCACTGGGGCCTTGTCCTTGAGATAATTTCTCTTCTCCTCAGAGAGCTGTGGCTGCAGAGCGCCGACTGGCTGCTCAGTTAGGAGGTCCTACCCCTCAGACCCCTGACTCTGCAATCGTCAATGCTGGGTATGTGGAGGGGGGCAGGAGTGATGATGGGCGGACCATAATGTTTGGGCAAGTAGAATGAGTGCCTACATACAAAGGCTGTGGAGGGGATGTGAGAAGTTCTTTGAACCTATGGAGTGGAAATAGAAATGGCAGGAAGAGGGAAAGGGATACTTGGATGGAAAAGTTTATGGGTACCTGTACATCCATTTTTCTTCCTCTGTTCAGACGCTGCTTGAGCTGTGGGACATCCCTCCAAGGCCTCATTCCCTTTCACTACCTTGACTTCTCTTTCTGCTCCACACGCTGCCTCCAGAATCATCGCTGTCAGGCCAGGAAGCCCTGTTCCTGATCTCTCACAGCTCCACCCAGGGCCAGCTCTAGACCCTGAGAAGGTACATTTATACTGGTCCTAGGTTTCTCCTTCCTGAGAAACCAGAGTATTTGGAAGATTGGGATGAGAGAGACTCAGGAACCCAGACAAAGATAGTGCCATTGAGATGTGTGGAGCTGGTACTGTCTCTGGAATTTTAATCACAATAAAGTTTGGCAAGGAAACTGCACTTGTACAGTTGTGGTGGTCTTTGATTCTTTGTGGTCACCTTGGCCATTACCAAGGGATCTTGCCCACTCCATGTCTCAGGTCCAAGGGTTACCTTCCTTTCAGTGCCCACTTAACTCCATTGGTTCAGAGTTACTTTGTGTATCAGCTGAGAGGGAATAGATGTATGTCTTATGCAAGGTGCTATTGAGGATAGGACTATCCAGAAATTGGATTTGGGGTCGGGGAGGCACATTTTCTAGTTCAAGCAATGTGATTTTGTTGAGAACTCCCCCAGGAAACAGCAAAGGTCCTGGCACATAGAGGGTCTGTTGTGGCCCTCTCTTTGTCCAGTATCGGCCCAAGTTAAACCCATTGATCCAGACTTGACCCTGTCATGGTGGGAGGAGAGGAAAATAAATGGTCAGTTCTCAGGGGAGTAGAATTATCCTCTTTTGGGTTTCTAGTCAGAGGAATAATTTCTGTTTCCCCTTCTTTCATGATTTTTCTGTCTTACCACCTCCCATCCTCATCCCAACTACTACTATAAGCAATACCTTGGTCCATTCAGGTAGAAAGAGAAATGTGTCTTTGACTGAGTCTAAAATTGGAAACGTTGTGGAATAGAAGATGGGGCCAGAGGGAGTTTGAGTTCGTGAGTTTTTCAGCAATTGGAGGGGAAACCACCTCTTTACAAGTTTATCAACTTTCAGAGGGAATATCAGCCATTGGGTAAGGATTGTTTGCCCCAGAAGTGGTGCCTGCAATAGGCCCTGTGAAGAAGACAAATGAAAATTCATCATCACATTCAATAATCTCTAAGGTGAAATTGTCCCTAATCAAGCCCTGAGATCCAATTAGTAGCCATGTCCAGATCCCTACAAGTCACTACTTTGGTAAGGACAGGGGTCTTGCTTATCTTCCATTAGGCCCTTATCTTTCCTTTTTTCTTCCTCTGTTCAGATGCCACTGGAGCTATGGGACATCCCTCTAGGGAGTTTGGTCAATAAAGTCATGGAGTGAGGGGACGGGCAAAGCCAGCTCACCTTGAAGTCACTGTAGTTAGACCCGAAACTGAGCCTCCCCATGTTCTCCAGCAAGACATCCAGTTTGGCCCCCATTTTCCCCGTCAAAAATACTTTTCGTTTCGTGTTTCGTTCCAAAACACCCTGAAACACCTGGGATAAGAAGATCTATGATGGGAAGGGTTCAGCATCTAGCTCCTGGCCACCAAATAGGAAGCCACATTAGGATACTTATTTGGAGGGGAAAGAGAATGCAGCCCATCTGTCAATTACTCTCCATTCTGGACCTTACCCTTCGTCAAACTCTTTCTCATCTAAGCTTATCCCTGGACGCCCTGTAAATGTGGGCAGGCAGTGGGAAAAGATAGATAGGGGAACTTAAGGTTAAAGGGTGCTTGAGAGGAGAGGAAAGGGGGCTCACAAGGTAGCCTGGAATTAGGTTCATACCCCATCCACCATCACGTAGGCACGGTCATGTATTCCGTTGTTTGGCACCCAGAATTGTGTTGGCTCAAAAACAGTTTGAGTTAGATAGGTCCGGTACAACATAAAACCACGGTCCTGGGTGTGGAAAAATGAGTACTTACAATAAACTGATATAAAAAAAAATGGGAAAGATGTGAAACTTAGGAAACCTTTGGCTATAGCTGGTAAAGAAGGTTGCCTTACCTACTGGCTGTGGGATTATGCCTTACCTGCTTGACAGCTTCAAAAGTCATTGGCAAGATTGAATGGATGGGCCCTTGGGGGCACAGTAAGTGCAGGAAATCTAGCAAATATCCATCCTATTAGAATAAGGGAGCAGTATCAGAATAAAAGGGAAGTTTCAGAATAGAGGGCTACTTAGAGGATAATATGGTAGAATCAGAAGAGATAGGGAGGAGCTTACCGGGTGTAGGGTCAAAGGTCCAAGCATCATCTTGGGGCTGGGGGGAGGTAAAGGTCCCAAGGGAATTTCCTGGAACTGAGCCCAAATTCTCTCAGGAGCCATAGAAAAACCACACAATCCCTATTTCAAGACCCTAGCACAGGGTTTAACCTGGCATCCAGGGAATGGCTTTAGGGTCATGAATATCCTATAAGTTTACACATACTTGTGTGTATCTTCCCAAGTATCTTCCCATTTGGGCAAGTGGAAAATGTTTTTATGGGATGCTCACAGGGCTCTGTGGCCTAAACAACCACCAGTGATTTCTGGGAACTCTTTACAAACAATTTAGGCACTCCCTTCCCCAAAATTAATAAAAGCCTTTGGCACTTAATGAAGTGGTAGGGCACCTGGCTGATGACATCTCGAAGAGCAAAAAGCTTGAATGTGACATCCCCTGCTTCAGATATCGGTGCATCGTAGTCATAGCTGGTAGTAATTGGAAGGAAGTGTCCCTTCTCATCAGCACCTGGGGTCAAACCAATTTAATTAATTCAATACATCTATGCACATGCAGAGAATTTTGCCATCAGATGGGGGGCAGTGATGGTCATATCCATCTTATAGATATCCTAATCCACTCAGCCCTTAAACTCTAATTCCTTGCTACTTCCCTGCTTCCACCCCAGGGACCATCTGGACTCACCATTCCAGTATCCAAAGTTGGTACCTCCATGAAACATGTACCTGAAATGAGGCAAGGTGGGGGGGAAAGCATGAGCTGACCAGGTAATCTTAACTGTCATTCCCAACACCCAATTACATTCATGTTGGCCCCAATGTCCAGTTACATGTTCACACTGGCTCCCATATCCAGCATTTTCTCTAGTCCTCTGGTTACATCTTTAATGGACCGTGTGGAGTGATTCTGGCCCCAGTAATCCAGCCAGCCTGTGTAGTACTCAGAGTTCACCTAGTGTGAAGCGAAAGGAGCCACCATGAGCAAGATGGGGAACCGAGCTCAACCCATTCCCACCCGTGATTCTTGCCTTGATTGCCCTCCTTTCTGGCTTCTCACCAGTGGCCCGTGAGGTTCATATTTCCTTTGCAGGGCAAAGATTTTGGTCATGTTGTCAGCTGCGGAAAGGAGGCATGGGTGAAAGATAAACATCACAGAACAAATGCTCCTTCCCCGGACTCCACCCTAACCCTTGCTCAAAAGACCTGGGCCAAAGTCTACAGTGGCATAAAGTCCCTTGAGGGAGCCACATTTGAGTCCCTGTGGCCCATCTGTAGTGAAGAGCAAAATCTCCTCTCCTAGTAGTGCACGGAAGAGTCCAGCCAGGTGCTTCATGTAGTCAAAGTCGCAGGCTTGATAGCTACCATATTCATTTTCCACCTGCCAGGAGAAAGGAAAAGTAGAGCTCAGCCATGAGGTGGAGAAGGTTAAGAACCCCTGGAACCTCCTTCCCCTTGACCAGTCAACTTTCCACTTGTACCTGAATGCTAATGATGTTGCCCCCATTGTGGTAGAGCCATGGATGTATCTTGGGCAGCAAGACCTTGAACCAGGAGTCCACTGCAGCAAGGAAGTCTAAAGGAAGGAGCAGTGCTCTGCTCATTAGGGCACCACCACCTCCACCATCCCCCCTCCTAGCACCAATGCTAGGAACTTCAGTGCTGCCTGAACTGTAGGAGAGATTGCAGGAATAGCCATTTGCATCCCACTTGTCCATAACAAAATGTGGGAAGCAGTAACTTGTGAAAAGAAGCTCTCAACCCTATTTGCATGGCAAGAAATTTGAGCACAGGAAACCTTAAAGCAAAGTTTCTTGTAAATTTATTTTTTAAATGTAAGAAAAAGGTTAAACACATCTCATGGAGCTATATTGTGTAATCAATGTACACAAGATTGCTATGAACTAACATGGGAATTCACAAACTATAGAATGCCTGGCCTACACTTGACATGATTTAAGTCATTAACTGAAAGAGCATTATATTAGGTTTCATGGCTTAAAATTCTCAACTCCTATTTATGATTTTTGTGGATTCATACTCATGGTCTTCATGTAGGTTATTACCTTTGCCTGACACTTTCTCCCCACCTCCTTTACCTAGCCAACTCCAACTCAGTCTTCAGGTCTTAACTTGTATTTCACTTCCTTAAGAAAGCCTTTGATATCCCAGATTAGGGTAGATCCTCCTGTTACACACTCTCACATCACCTTCTCTTTCAAACACATATCCAATTATAATTAAGCATTTATTTCTGTAATTGTTTCATGTTGGTCTTCCCCACTAGTGAGCAGGAATTTTGTCAGGTTCATTTGCTTGGTCCCTATAATTTGAGGACAATGCCTAGCAGATAGCAAACTCCTGAAGGTGGATTTGATGAAAGATATTTTGGTGGATATTTTTGTATCCTTAAAAGACTTAATTCTTGCTGAAACCAGTTTGGCTCAGTGGTAGAGCGTCGGTCTGTGGACGCTCTCTATCTCTCTCCCTTCCTCTCTGTAAAAAACCAATAAAAAAAAATAAAAAGACTTAATTCTAAAAAAAGGAATAAAATATTCTAAGTGTTAGGGATATAGAATAGAAAGAAATAAACAAAAACCCCTGGGAATTTCCTTTCCACTGAGGGAAGCAGTTGATAAAGAGATAAAAAAAATATAGTGGGTTAATACCAAGGAGAGAAAAATAAAGCAGAATAGGAAGATATAAAATGGTGAAGTGGGCCCTAGCTGGTTTGGCTGTGGATGGAGCATAGGCTTGCGGACTGAAGGGTCCCAGGTTCGATTCTGGTCAAGGGCATGTAACTTGGTTGCAGGCACAGCTCCAGTGGGAGGTGTGCAGGAGGCAGCTGATTGATATTTCTCTCTCATCGATGTTTCTGACTATCTCTCTCCCTTCCTCTCCATTAAAAAAAAAATCAATAAAATATATTTTAAAAAATGGTGAGGTGGGGGAACTTAAATTTTAGAGGCTGGCTCATGGAAGACCTCACTGTGAAGGGGATTCTGCAAGAAGACAGCAGTGGGTTTAAAGAACAGCAATGAGGCTAGTGTGAACAATAAGAGTAGAGGTCAGGAAGGTGCCTGAGACAATGAGGAAGGAACTAGTAGGCCATTTTAAGGAATCTATGGTTCATATTCTGAGTGAGATGAGAACCTGTTGGAGAGGTTTAAGCAAAGACGTTATATGATCTGATATGATAAACATATTTTAACAGGATCACACTGGCTATTGTACTGAGAATAGGCCACATGGGAGAACGGCAACGACAGGAAACCAGTTAGGAAGCTTAAAATAATCCAGCGAAGAGAGGTGGTTTGGACCAGAGTGGTGGCAGTGGAGGTGATGAGTAGTTGAATTCAATATTATTAAGAGATATATTTTGAGAGTCAAGCTGACAGAATTCTCTGATGGACCAAACATGGGGTGCAAGAGAAAGAATACATGAATAATTACACTATAGTGTTTAGTTTGATAAGTTGGAAAATAAGAGTAGCCATTAACTGAAACGGGAAGATTGTTGTAATAGCTAGTTTGGGGGGGCAATATCAAGTGTTTAGTTGTATCATTATGACTGTTGAATCTCCAAATGCAGAAGTCAAGAAGGCAGTTGAATAATGTGTTTGTAGGCCAAAGGAAGATCTTGGAGATAACAAATGGAATATAATACCATGCAAATGGATGAGATTGTCTAGGCAAGCAAGTTAAACTCTTGGCCCACGGGCCCAACAAATATTTTTGCAGCCCAGCCAATATAATGGTATGTAAGAAATGTTTTAATTAAAATTTTGTAACTTAATTTTTACAATATTCTGTTATACATGATTATTAATAACGAATTACAATGTTCACTAATGACTGATTACTATAATTGTGTTGCATTCATTTCCCTTATGCACCTTATGCGTAGGCGCACCATTTCTCTCCACTAATACTAGCAGCGAATATTTTAGCAGCCAATTGCCACATCATTAGTCTTGTACTGACTTGTTTGGTGTATGCAACAGGAAATATTTTGCTTTTGGAGAACAAGAAAAATAGGCTTATTTGCACTATGCTTATTAATTTGTGTAGTTACTAGTATTCAGTGTCTGGTAAGTTAATGTTCAATAAAAAATATTTTTATTAAAATGTTCTATTATTTTATGTTAACAATTACTCATTTATTTCAGCCCTTTGTATTCAGCATGTCTCTATCGAAATAAACCTACATTTCTATGAAAATTGAAGCTTTTGTTTTATTGTGGTCCACATAAACTTAAATCTTGTTTATTTGGCCTGTGTTAGCCTTTGAGTTTGACATGCTTGGACTAGAGCATGAACACAGAAAAGAGAAGCATCTAAGGACTGAGATCTGAAACACACAAGCATTTAGCAGAAAAGGAAACGGAGAAGAACCAGTAAGAGATTGAGAAATGGTCAGAAAGATTGTGGGTAGAGGGGCAAAGACTAAGTAAGTGTAATATCATGGAAGTTGAGAGAAAAATGTACTTCAAAGGAGAGTGACCAACTGTGCTAAATGTTGCTGATTGTGGTCTGAGAAAGCACCATGGAATTAACATTAAAGAGGTTACTGGTATTCTTGATAAAACAGGAGATTGCAGCCCTGGTCAGTGTGGCTCAGTTGGTTGAGTGTCATCCTGTGCACAGAAAAGTTGCTATTTGGATTTCCAGCCAGGGCACATGCCCGAGTTGCAGACCTGACTGATCCCTGGTAGATGCAGGAGGCAGCTGATCGATGTTTCCCTCTCACATTTATTTTTTTCTCTCTCCTCTTCCCTTCTTCTCTCTCTAAAACTCAATTTTAAATCTTTATATAAATAAAAGGAAGTGCGAGACTACATATAAGATTCATCATCATAACCATTTTTAAAAATTACACTGCAGCCGAAACCGGTTTGGCTCAGTGGATAGAGAGTCAGCCTGTGGACTGAAGGGTCCCGGGTTCGATTCTGGTCAAGGGCATGTACCTTGGTTGCGGGCACATCTCCAGTAGGGGGTGTGCAAGAGGCAGCTGATCGATGATTCTCTCTCATCGATGTTTCTAACTCTCTATCCCTCTCTCTTCTTCTCTGTAAAAAAATCAATAAAATATATTTTAAAAAAGGGAACATCTATATCAATCCTTTCAACAATAAAGATTAAAAATGAAAAATAAAAGTACCCCCCCACCCAATAAATTTATTTAAAAAAATGCACTGCATGTTGCCAACATTCTCCATCAATACTTCATCATTAAAAAAAAAAAATTATTGATTTCAGAGAGGAAGAGAAAGGGAGAGAGAGATAGAAACATCAATGATGAGAATCATTAACTGCCTCATGCACACTCCAACTGTAGAGCCAACAACACGGGCATGTGCTCTGACCAGGAATCAAACCATGACCTGCTGGTTCATAGGTGGACACTCAGCCACTGAGCCACATCAGTGGGGCTGGCACCACCATCTTGGCTGGGTACTCACACTGCTGCCATTCCTACCCTTTCAATCAAATCTGTACACAACCTATACCTCAATTCTGCTTTCTTCTTTCCATTTCCACTACTATCACCTTAGTCCAGGAGCCATCAACTCCTCAACTACAGGCTTAGTCTCCCAATTGGTTTCTTCACCATGCCCCTCACTCCCCTCAACCCATTCTCTACATACAGGCTAAAGTAGTCTGAAAACAAATCTGATCATGTCACATCTCTGATTAAACTCAATGACTTTCCACTATGCTAGAATAAAATGCAAACCCCTTAGAGTGGCCTACAAAGTCCTGCATCGGCAGTCCCTATCTCCAATTTCACGTCATTCCACTCTCTCCCTTATCCACTACGCTCCAGCCATGCTGGCCTCAATCATGCCAGGTTCTTTCCCATCTCTGGGCCTTACAGTACACTGTCCCCTTTACCTGGTCATTCTCGCTTCACTCTTCATATGATCAGAACGTTTCCTTCCCTAGTCAACTGATTGTCATCTCAGAAAAGCATTTCCTGACCTCCCTACCTAAAAGAGGTCTTCTCTATAATTCACTCTCTCACCTCCTTGTCTATGTCTATTCCTTGTGTGGTATTTTTACAATTTGCAATAATATTACAGATTTTTGGTTTCTTAAAAAATCTATTTCTTCCTCTACAAGGTAAGCTCCATTGCACAGTGACTGAGTCTGTCTGGTTTCCTAGTTCCTAGCATCCTGCTGGGCACGAAGAAAACACTCAATTTATATTTGAATGAATGCTCTCCAACTTGGGGGTGGTCTCTTCTGTTTTGGGCACCCAAATGACCCATTTTGTCATTGTTGTTTGCTTTTTTCCCCTTGTTAAATTTTTTTTTTTTCAACTCACCTGGATCTGAAGTTCTTAGATGAATATTAGGTTTACGAAGCAACCAGGCTGGGAGACCCCCCTGAGACAAACATAAAGACAACAAAGGCAGCATATGGGTTTTGTTTTCTGAGAAGAAATTAAGTATAGTGCTGGAAGTGGCCCTAAAGTATGGGCAGAAGGGAATAGCCTAGGAATCCCACGTGGATAGCTTTGGTTCTATCCCTTTAACTAACTCACCATCTCCCACTCTGCACAGATGTAAGGTCCTGGTCTCAGTATGACCAACAGGTTCGCTACAGATGCCTCTTTCAGAAATGCAATGAGATCCCGGCTGCCATTAAAGTTATAGACCCCAGGCTCTGGCTCATGGTAGTTCCAGGGTACATAACTGAGAAAGGAAGAGGTTAACAGGGCCCAAAGCTTGATTGGGGGATGTTTGGGAGGCATAAGGGCTCCAGGCTTTGCAAGGAATCTCCAGGAAGCTGTTGGAAGCAGATCCTGACCTACCCCCCCCCCCCCCCCCCACACACACACCTTGGCCTGGAAGCCCTGGAGCTCTACTCTTTATCACACCCAAGCAGTCTTCCTGTCCCGACCCCCTTTAATAAGGGGGGTGGTAGGAAAAGTAAATCCCACCCCTCCATGGCTCTCCTGAGCCTTTCTTACAGCTGTACTGCGTTGAGGCCACTCATTTGCATCTTGAAAAGCCGGTCAGCCCAAAGCACGCGAGGTACCCGAAAGTAGTGCAGACTGCCAGACACATAGCGGAACGGAGCCCCGTCCAGAAGGAATGTATCGTGTTCCCGATCTATTACGAAGGACCGAGTGTCTGCCTGCAGAGGGAGAGGCGGTGCTCAGCAGGGGTCTGGAGGAGGGGTAATGGGCGTCTGCCAAGAGTAGGAGAGATGTAACTAGGTCTGCCCAGAGTTTTGTTATTTTCACTTTGTCTCCCTACGCCAGATCTAATCCGGTCTCACAGCAGGTTAGTTCAATCCTCATGTCTCACCTGGGGTAGCAGTAGCGTCAGGAGCAGCAGCAGCAGGGAGAGAAGGCAGAACGGCTTCTTGGGAGCCATGGCGCTTAGCCTGCGGTCCAACTGTCACGTGGCGGATTCCTGGGAGGGAACTTCAGTGAGCAAAGCGGGGCGGAGACCACCTCAAGTTGCCAGGCAGACTTTCGTCCTCGGCTCCTCTGCTAGTTTGTAAAGTCCTCTACATTCCCCCCCCCCCTCCATAAAAGGTGGTTTACTTTATTTAGACAAAAAAAAAAAATCATTAACCTTATTCCATCCTTCATTTATTGCTTTGCTGTGCCATAGAAATGCATAGAGCAAATTAGTTCTAGGAAGAGATAAAGTCCTCTACATTTTGAACCAGCTTTGTGAGAGTCACTTGGGAGCGTGTTAGGAATGCAGAGACCCAGGCCCTGCCTCAGACCTCAGAATTGGAATTTGTATTTTAACAAGATTCCCAGGCACATTCAAGATTGAGAACCCGTGCTCTACTAGACTTAGATGAGCTCTTAAGGGTTGGGACCTTGTTCATCTTGAATCTTCAGTATCAGGCACAGGGCCCACATGTAGCAGGTTAAATCTAAACAAACGTCAGAACCCCGAGGGGGTGAGTAAAACAGGTTTAGAAACAAGGGAAACTGTAGGGAGATCTTCCCAGTGATGTATAAGGGGAGGGCAAGGTTGGGGAGGCAGATTACAGAACAGGTATTTTCCCTGGAGAGCCCTATTTCAGCAAAAGACACCATCAAGGTCTATTCCATCTCCTTTGGGTGGGCGCCCCTTTCTAATTTACCTCTGCCCGTCTGTGCAAAAGATGCCAAGGACAGTTGCTTGGTGCCAAGGCTTGGGAGTTTGGGGATTTCCATTACTCCTGCCTTCACAGTCCCAAGCCTGAGATGTAATAATAATAATAATAATAATAATAATAATAATAATAATACTTCTGTTTAACACTTACTGAGGGCTATGCTTAGTCAGATATTGTACTAGGCACTTCACATATCGCTTAATCTCCAAACAACTACACAAGGTAGATAATTATTATTTGCATTTTACAGATGAGGAAATTGAGGAACAGAAATATTAAGTAAGCTTGTCCAAGGTCACACAACTAGTTTAGTAGAGCCGTAATTTAAGTAAGTATCTGGCCTCACGGTTCAGGTACTTAACCTTAGGTAGGGATATACCTATTTTGTAAATAGGGAAAGCGATGTTAAATAACTTGTCCGAGGTCACACCGCTACTAGGCTATTAGGACCATATTTAGACCCTAGTCTGGTTCAAGAGCCTGAGCTCTTAACCAGTGAGACTAGGGAGGTGGGATATAGGCAGAGCTCCCAGGGTTGTACTGATTAGAGTTCCAGAAGTCCAGGTCGCCAGCAATACCCCACCTCACCCCTCCCCGATCCAGTTACCCCTCCCTCCCTCCGTCCTGGGCTGCACTCGGTGACCCAGCGCGCCGGAGGTCTGAGGCCTCCTACCTCCAGCATTGGGAAATGGAGGCTCTGGGGGCCTCGGGCCGAGCCCGGCTTTGCTCCCCGCTGGCGTAGGTGCTTTCGTCCTGACCCCTACAGAAGGCCAGGTGTGGCACCCTCTCCGGGGCCCAGGTACCCGTCCTCCCGCAGGCCTAGCCCGCCCCCGGCTTGTCCACTCCACGCCCCTACATCCTCCGCAGGCCCGGCGGTTGCTAGGACACCGCGGGCCGTTACGCCGGCGCTGAATGATGACGCACCCGCCGCTTCCGGTCCCTGGCGCTTCCCTGCTGCCCAAGCCAGGTCAGTGGAGAAGCTTTCTTGGTCTACTCGGGTCTGCACGCCGAGGCCGGGGGTGGGCTCTGCAAGGGATGGGCTCGAGCCCCGCACTCCCCTGCCCTGCCTTCGCGGCGAGCGGGCGTGGGAACGGGGGCCGCCCGAAGGTGGGCTGGAGGTGGAGGAAGCGGTTTGGTAGTCGCTGGGTGGCCTGAGGCTTTAAGACACCCGATCCCAGCTTTCTTGGAGATGGTATCGCCAGGACCTGTTTTCTCTAGATTCCGAAACTTGGGCCTGAGCTCTCCACATCAGTAGCTCAGGGTCGTCTGGATTGTGTCCGACCCGCGACCCTGCCGCTCTTTTCCTTCCAGCATGATCCGCTGGACCCCCAGCGCATCGCCCGAAAGAGCCCACTTAACCTGGACCAACGCTTTGGCACCTAACACCGTCCTTGAGGAGGATGACTGAGACGCTATGGGCCACGCGCTGTGTATCTGCTCGCCGGGAACTGTCACCATTGACAATAAGCGCTACCTCTTCATCCAGAAACTGGGGGAGGGGTGAGTGTTTGGAACTGACTAGTCCCCAGGGTTGTGATGATTGAAGGACAACAGTCTGCACATGATTAGGGGCACAAAGGTTTTATTCTGTAGCCTATCTTTTAACTCACTTGACAGAGCCTAGTGACAGGCTAGTCAAGAAAGTGGATCCTGGAGCCAGGCCTCCTAATCGACCTGTGTGACCTTGATAAGCCATGGGTTCTTCATCTGCTTAATGGAGATAATTACTATCTTGTGACACTGATGGAGCTGTGAGGATTAAATAAGATAAGGCATATAAAATATCTTGCCGGTGCCTGGTTCACTGCACCTAAATGTTGACTATTCACTTAATGTTTATTGAGCATCTGTCATGTGCAGAACACTGGGTTAAGACCACAGGACCTCAGTATTACTATGTCCCAGCTCTTGAGCTCAAAGTGTAATGATCTCCAAACTTCTCTTAGAGTCACATCTTGGGAGGGTTTCTACAAACTGGGAAAGACATCCCCATTCTCCCCAAGGAGTTCCTCTGGGTCCAAGCAATGTGGGAGATGACCGTGGCCCTTCACTGACCCTTTTGGCCCACAGTGGGTTCAGCTATGTGGACCTAGTGGAGGGGTTTCATGATGGACACTTCTACGCACTGAAGCGAATCCTGTGTCACGAGCAGCAGGATGTGGAGGAGGCCCAGCGAGAAGCAGATATGCATCGCCTCTTCAATCACCCCAACATCCTTCGCCTCGTGGCTTACTGTCTGAAGGAGCGGGGCACAAAACATGAGGCCTGGCTGCTACTACCTTACTTGAAGGTCAGAAAGTCTCCTGGCTCTGGAGGGGTTGCAACAGAGCAGTCAAGTATATTAGGAATCAGAGGCTCTGTCTTGGGTTTGACCACTTCAGATTTGGAGTTTAGAGGACTCCAAATGGGACTGTAGGGTGTGGTTGTGTGATGAAAAGGTTGATAACTTTTGACATAGGGAAGGGATCAGACTCGGAACAGAAGCTGAAAAACCAACTGTGGGGATATTTGTGTTGCAGGGAGGTACGCTGTGGAATGAGATAGAAAGGCTGAAAGACAAAGGCAACTTCTTGACTGAAGATGAAATCCTTCAGCTGTTGCTGGGTATCTGCAGGGGCCTTGAAGTCATTCATGCCCAGGGTTATGCCCACAGGTCAGTAGGAGCACCCTGTGTACTTTCTGGAACAGAAAGAGCCCCCACTAAGAGAAATGAGAGGTCTGAGCTCTCCTCCCAAGCAACTGCCCCTGTGATTCTTATGCCTCCTTGGGATTCTAGCCTCCTGTCCAGAGATGCTCATGGGTTATTTCCACTTCCCGACAGGGATCTGAAGCCCACCAATATCTTACTTGGAGATGAGGGGCAGCCAGTTTTAATGGACTTGGGTTCCATGAAGCAAGCACGCATCCAAGTGGAGAGCTCCCGCCAAGCTCTGGCCCTGCAGGTAAGAGTCTGCAAGTTCTTTTGCCCACCTGTTCCCAATTCCTGATCCCTTCTGGTGCATTTCCCAATTTCGTCACATGACTGTGATACGTGCCCCACTTTTGAGCTCTGGGGCCACTGTTCCAGGACTGGGCAGCCCAGCGGTGCACCATTTCCTACCGGGCCCCGGAGCTTTTCTCTGTGCAGAGCCAATGTGTCATCGATGAGCGGACTGATGTTTGGGTGAGGAGCATGCGGGTAGGAATCTGGGGGGAGTGGAGCTGCTCTGTACCTCCTGTGGAGGAGCAGGTATTTGGTTTCCAGTGCATGGGGCCCCAGGAACCATGTATGTCCCCATCCCCCTCAACTTCCTTCCTGAGAACGGTTGCTGACACTGTACTCAATTGCTCAGGAAGTGGTAAAACTCTGCCCTTTGAACAGGGTTGGTACAGCTGAGAGTCATAGCTGAAGACAGTGGCTAAGCAAGGGTTGCAGAGGCCTCCAGTTAACTGGCAGTTTCTGTCATGTGGCTGACATTAGCATAGTCCTTTTAGTTTATGTACCGGTAGTCTCCTTTCACTACAGAATTAGGAGTTACCATCTCCATTGGTCTCCTTTTATGGAATAACCAAGTTATGCTCAGTCCCTAGGCTGTGTGCTATATGCTATGATGTTTGGGGAAGGCCCTTATGACATGGTGTTTCAGAAGGGTGACAGTGTGGCCCTGGCTGTACAGAACCAACTCAGCATCCCACAGAGCCCCAGGTGAGTGATGAAGGGACACCAGGTACTTTAGACTCTCCTTGATGGGTGCCCCTCAGTCACTCTGCCCTCCTCCTTCCACAGGCATTCTTCAGCATTGCGGCAGCTGCTGGCCTCGATGATGACTGTGGACCCCCTGCAGCGCCCTTATATTCCATTCCTCCTCAGTCAGTTGGAGGCTCTGCAACCCCCAGCTCCAGGCCAGCACACTACCCAAATCTGAACCAATGGCCACGCTGAGGTGGCCCGTGCCTTGTTCTTCGCTGGAATCTCCATCCTTTCTATTCAGGCTTGCTCTCTCATAGTTGGGGCAGGGGGCCGGCGAGAGTCAGCACATTCATCTCTGTTTTTTTACCCTCAGGACTACTGGACAGGGAGCCTGAGTTGGGGTGGGTGGGGGATGGAGAAAGGCAAGCTGATAGATTCTGATAAAGGATCTGAGCAGGACTGCCAAGCTTACATCATGGTCTGCTTCCAAATCAGGGAGCAGTAAAATGTATAAATAGAAGAATAAAGTGAAAGCAGTTTGGTGTGGCTCTATGTCTCATTGTTCCTGGAGTGAGAGCAGATATAAGGGTCCCAAAGTCTGGCCATTTCCAAGGAACAGCCTGGGGAAAAGAGGGGCTGGTGTAGAGTCAGGAGGCATGGTTGGCAACGGGCAGTTCTTCTAGCTTAACTTAGTTGAAAACTTAAAGTTGCTCCGGCTTGAGTAGGCTTCTATGCCGAGAACTGGAACCAGGGTCCCCTAAACGCATTCAACTCATTCTTACCTTCCTTCATTCCCAGCAGTGGATAGCTTAGAGCAGCCCAACTGGTTTGCCAGGCAAGGGCTTCTGGGTGGAGACATCCAAGGAAGCTTGAGATAGCTAGATAACAGGTCTCAGCCTCAGCCTGGGGGCAAAGGGAGTGGAGGAGGCAGTCATATTGGCCCAGTCTCTCCCAGATGGTTTTAGCTCACACACGGTTAATGATTAATGAGGCCAGTGTGGCGTGGCGGTATCCAGCTGCCACTTCCTGCCTGCTCTGCTGAGTAAACAGGGGCCTTGCCTTACTGGGCTTGAAACCTGTTCCCCAGGGAAGGGTGCTGCGTCCCTGAATCACAGGGAGGGGCTGCAAGGGCAGGGTTGGCATTGCTTGCTCCAGAGATTGAAGCTTCTTTCCCCCAACCCTGCCAACCCCCACATGCTGACGTCAGTGTGGGTCCTGGGGTACCTATTAGTGAAGTTGAAATTTTCCCCAGGGCCCTGGCAAGAGGATCCCACCAGCTAGCAGAGGGACCGAGGCCAGAAAGAAAGCACAAACAGGGGAGACGACCTGACTTTTAATAGCACAGCCCTAGCCCCCAGCAAAGCAGCAAGACAGTAACCTATGCAAAGCTGTTTATGCAGTGACATAAACAACTCTAGGACATGGCCCTGTTCCCTCCCATCCCCCAAGCTTATGACTGGGCTCCATGCCAAGGACTTTGGGCCAGCTCAGCCCCACTCCCAAGCCCTCATAACACAGAGGTGCCTGAGCCAAGCCTTGCTTCCAGAGTTGGTGAATGCAGAAGCAGCAGGAAGAATAGGTCTAGTCCAACTCAAATACAGAAACTTTTGAACTTAAACTCCTACTTAGAAAAGAAGTGAAGACTCATATCCTTCAATAGCTTGTGGCTGGACAGACTGATCCAGGATTCAGTCCTCATTTCCTCCCTATCCTGGGTTCCCCCTAGGATTTTAGATGAAGGTCCCCAGGGTGATGTTTCCTGAGTCTGGCAAGGGATCCTTGGCAGGTCTCACCTTCAGCCATGGAAGGGAAAAGGGTCATGAGCAGCAAATAGGGCAGAAGCAGCAACAGCAGCAGCACAAAGAGGAAGGTAGCAGAAGCTCAAGTATTCACATCACAGAGGGAACAAGAAATCGTGCAAGGAGACTGTTTATTTCAAAAGGATTTTGCAATGAACATAGTGAGTGGGCTCCTGGCAGCTGGTCTATTCTTCTCCCTCATCCTCGTCCTCATAGGAGTCGATGCCAACTTCTTCATAATCCTTCTCCAGGGCAGCCATATCCTCCCGGGCCTCAGAAAACTCACCCTCCTCCATGCCCTCACCCACATACCAGTGCACAAACGCCCTCTTGGCATACATCAGGTCGAACTTGTGGTCCAGACGGGCCCAGGCCTCGGCAATGGCGGTCGTGTTACTCAGCATGCACACGGCACGCTGCACCTTGGCCAGGTCACCACCAGGCACCACAGTGGGGGGCTGGTAGTTGATGCCAACCTTGAAACCTGTGGGGCACCAGTCCACAAACTGAATACTGCGCTTGGTCTTGATGGCAGCGATGGCAGCGTTGACATCCTTGGGCACCACGTCTCCACGGTACAGCAGGCAGCAGGCCATGTACTTGCCATGACGGGGATCACACTTCACCATCTGGTTGGCAGGCTCAAAGCAGGAATTGGTGATCTCCGCCACAGACAGCTGCTCGTGGTATGCCTTCTCTGCGGAGATGACTGGCGCATAGGTGGCCAGGGGGAAGTGGATGCGTGGGTAGGGCACCAGGTTGGTCTGGAACTCTGTGAGGTCCACGTTGAGGGCCCCATCAAAGCGCAGGGAAGCTGTGATGGAGGAGACGATCTGGCTGATGAGGCGGTTGAGGTTGGTGTAGGTGGGGCGTTCGATGTCCAGGTTGCGGCGGCAGATGTCATAGATGGCTTCGTTGTCCACCATGAAGGCGCAGTCTGAGTGCTCCAGGGTGGTGTGGGTGGTCAGGATGGAGTTGTAGGGCTCCACCACAGCCGTGGACACCTGGGGGGCTGGGTAGATGGAGAACTCCAGCTTGGATTTCTTGCCATAATCAACAGAGAGCCTCTCCATCAAGAGTGAGGTGAAGCCGGAGCCGGTGCCCCCTCCAAAGCTATGGAAGACCAGGAAGCCCTGAAGTCCTGTGCACTGGTCAGACTGAAAGACAAGAAAGAAAAAGAGCAGTGTAGGTGGGAGAGGGTCCTGAGGAACTCTATCTTCTTGCTCCACAAAAGCCTACGTAGCTCAAGAGTCAGAGCAAAGACTAATGAGTATTCCATAAGCAACATGCTCTGGAACACGTACAATTAGAGATGACTCCCTCAAAAAGGTCTGGGGGAAAAAAAAATGTTCCTGACCCTTAGCATCATCAAAAGCTACCCCCCTTCCCTGCCAGACTCTCACCAGCTTGCGGATCCGGTCCAGTACTGGGTCAATGATCTCCTTGCCAATGGTATAGTGACCACGGGCATAGTTGTTCGCAGCATCCTCTTTCCCGGTGATGAGCTGCTCTGGATGGAAGAGCTGCCGGTATGGGCCATTCCGGATCTCATCTGCAAGGGCACAAACCACAATGTCAGGGCCCAAACCACAAGGCTGTGCTCAGCCCAGACCTCCCTCCCTCAGTGTGGTAGCTGCAGTGAGATATGTGCAATAGCTCATCCTTCTGCCAGTCCAAGATACCAGTGTGAGAGAACTCCAGACCTGCTGGCCAAGGTCACCCTTTGATTAGATTCAAACTGAGTGAGGAAAGCCAGGTCTACCAGGTCTAGGTACTCTCCCTCCAGAAAGAAGCATTAGAATCACTCTCCACTCCCCTCAATTCCACCCTCTTCTTTCTCTCACCAATTACGGTGGGCTCCAAATCCACAAAAACTGCCCGGGGCACGTGCTTTCCAGCTCCAGTTTCACAGAAGAAGGTGGTGAAGGAGTCGTCTCCTCCACCGATGGTCTTGTCACTGGGCATCTGCCCATCAGGCTGAATCCCATGTTCCAGGCAGTACAGCTCCCAGCAGGCATTGCCCATCTGGACACCTGCCTGCCCCACATGGACTGAGATACATTCACGCTGAGGAAAAAAAAAGGGGGGGGGGGGGGACAGAGCATAAGTTCTCACTTATGAACCTCTCTGCCATCCTATAACCTTTTAGCTAGGATGACTCAGTTGGCAAAAAGTGGAAATTTGGGGCTGGACAGAGGTCAGAAAAGGCTGGCAACCTGCCAGGCTCCCCAACTGGAGGCACTGAGTAGGGCAGGCCACCCCCTTAGCCTACTACTCCATGGGGAGTTTGTCGATTAAGAGCTGTGGTCACCAATTTGATTCCTAGTCAGGGCACATGAACAGGTTGGGGGCTTGATCCCCAGTGGGGAGTGTGCAGGAGGCAGCCAACTGATGATGTTTCTTCATCGATGTTTCTATTTCTGCATCTTTCTCCCTTCCCCTCTCTCTAAAAATTAATAAAAACATTTTTTTTTTTTTTTTTAAAGCAAGAGCTGTGGCTCCACATAACCCTGCCACACTCAGAGAATACTCAGGGAGGATGGAGAGGGCAAGTGAATATGAGCCCAGCAGCCATGCAGGAACTGAGGCAAGGGCAGGCAACGTTTTAGCTGTTCCCGATTCCTACCCTCCCAGAAACAGCTTCTGCAGAGCCTGGGAAAAAACAGGTTTTCCAGATCTGTCAGTTTATAGCTATAGGTCTCCACTGCTTAACTCTTTGCTTTGAGGATGAACAGCTAACATTTCATATAACCTTCTCCCCCTTTCTTTCCTGCGGGCTGCAGAGGTATCTCAGCCTTCCAGTCCGGCATCAACTGACCACACTGGCATCAGGATGCCCTCTCCCCCACCTTTAAATCCCATCTGGCTCCCTCTCCCTAATCTCCCTCTTCCCCACTGCACCCTGGGAGTCTTTACCACCTTCATCCGAGTCGACAGGCCTCGGGAAAATAGCAGCGGATCATGCAGAGGGCAGGTGAGGGCAATAGGGGTTGTGAGTACTGGGGCAGTCGCAACCCTAAGCTAGCCCAAGCCTGTCTGAAAGTAACCCCTGACGCGCCAAAATGGCCCAGCACCGGGCTGCGCGGCCGCCCGGTCAGACACGGAAATGGCGGGGTGAAGGTTTCCAAATGCTCAGCAAAGGAAGCGGAACCCGCGGTGAGGCACCAGAGGTAACCCGCCTTGCCCCGGGCAGAAAGAACGCCATCCTGCACCCCGCCCTGTACTCGCCCCCCCTCTTTCCAATTACATCCCAGCGGAAAGCGAGGATTGGATTTCGGCCCCCGTTCCAGGGCTATAAATACCACCCTCTACACGCACCTCTTCCCCTCCCCCCAACCTGGCCCGGCCCGAGCTCCCGCTCAGCCACAGCTGTCTCTGCCCGTCCGCGCCTCTGGGATCCCGCCGGAGAGGGGCCGGCCCGCCCGCCGCACGAGAC